CCTCGATGCCTTATGCTATGCTAAAGTTTATATCAAATTGGATATTATTGCTGCATTCAATAAATTACGGATTATAAAAGGTTATAAATAGAAAACCACTTTTACAATTTGTTTTAGCTTATTCAAATTCTTGATAATACCTTTTAGCTTTTGCAATACTCCTACCTCATTTTAGAATTATATCAATTATATTCTTTTTGATCTTTTAGATAAAAATTATACAGCATACCTAAACGATATTTTGATTTACTTTAAAAATGTTATAAATCATTAAAAACAAATTCGCAAAATTGTTTAAAGATTTATTGATGTTAGATTACAAATTGATATTGATAAATACAAATTCGAAACAAAAAAAACGAAATATCTCGGCCTAATTATTATTCCTAATAATATCGAAATGGACCCCAACAAGGTTAAAACTATTCTCGAATGGAAATTGTTAATTAAGCTAAAAGACCTTCAATGTTTTCTAGGGTTCGCTAATTTCTACCAACGCTTCATTTATAACTTTTCTAAAATCACGAAACCTTTAAATCATTTATTGAAAAAAGAGAATATATGGAATTGGACTGTTGATTAAGAGAATACCTTTGAAAATCTGAAGTATGCCTTTGCTTCCGTTTCAGTTTTTGTAATATTTGATTATCATTATTGTATAGTTGTTGAAATAGATACTTCAGACTGGGTTACAGGCAGAGTATTCTCTCAATATGACAATGAGGGCTGATTACATTCGGTTGTGTATTTCTTTTCGAAATATAGTGTAGTTGAGTGCAATTACGAGATTTATGATAAGGAATTACTAACTATTATCAAATCTTTAGAAAAATGGAAATCCGAATTATATGGAATCCAGGAGTTATTCGAAATCATTACTAATTATAAGAATCTAGAGTATTTTATATTGATAAAGATATTGAATTAAAGACAAGCTAGATAAGCTGAATTCCTATCTGGCTTCAACTTTTGTATTATATACTATTCTGGTTATAAGGCAGTTCGCTTTGATGTATTGAGTCAAAAGACAAAAGACCACTCTGCTTACACCGATCCCAACGATAACTGGATCAAAAATCGCCTACAGACGGTTCTTCCAGAAAAAGTATTCGATAATACTATACTCAAAGATCTTATTCAATAAGTTAATAACAATATTGATCTCATTGCAACCCTTATAAATATAATTATTCCCGATATCGAAAAGCCAATCGATGATTTCATTGATATAACATACAAATCATCTGAATTGATTATTATTATACACAAAACCCTTTGGAATTCAGCTGTTTGTTATTAGTTACTATCTATTCAAAAAAACTTCCAAATTATTTTTCAAGATTGTAGATTGATTAATAATAAAATCTTTTATTACAATCATTTTTTCATTCTCCTTTCCACTAAACTCTGTATCCAGATTATATACTGAACGCACTTTACTGGATCTGCTGGGCATTCTAGCCGAGTTAAGATTATTGACCTTGTCTCCTGTATATACTAATAGTTCAATATGTTGAAAGAAATCGAAACTTATGTATAAACCTATCAACTCTGTTTCCGAACCAAAGCCTTCCGCCTTGCTATACCCGAATTCCTAGAATCTTTACCTATATTATTTCGCCCCTGGTCTGATATCTTTATTAACTATATTATACCGCTATTAATTAGTGAATGTTATGGTAAAAAGTATTAATATATTGTTATAGTTGTTTATCACCTAATAAAAATGCATCATTTCATTTTGATTATAGGACTCTCTGTAGAGAAACTTACTAATTGATTTATTGAGAAAGTCTATTGTTTATATGGCTTACCTGATAATATTATATCCGATAGAGATTCATAATTTATATTAGAATTTTAAAAACACTTATCCAAACACCTATCGATTATTTTGAAACGGTCCTCCTTATTCCATTCTAAGTTTGATGAATAAACAGAGAGAATAAATACCATGGTAGAACAATACCTTTGAGCTTTTATAAACTTTTATTAAGATAATTGATATGATTAACTTTCACTCATAGAATTTGCGCTCAATAATACAACCTTAGAAATTATTAGTATATTCCCATTTTTTACTAACTACAGTTTTTATTTACATTTTAATATTAAGCTTTTCTTATCTATTTCCCCGAATTTGTTATATCAATGTAGATATGAGTTCCTGAAAGCTAATAAGATTACAGATCGATTTGATATTATTCTAATAAAATTGAAAGCTTTAGCTACTTAGTTTATTCAGAAATATAAAGATTATACTAATAAGATTTGTATTGATGTTTTTTTGTATAAAGAGAATAATAGAGTATAGATTAATATTAAGAATATGAAGATTAATCGATTGATAAAGAAAGGCAATAACAAATGGGATAGTTTTTATAAGATTATTAAAGTTTACAAACAAGTCTGTCTACTTCAGCTTTCTATTAGTTTCAAGATCTTTCCAATATTTTATAACTTATTATTCTAATTACTTCATTATTTATTTGGATTAGTCGATTAAGAAATAATCAATAATGCTAAATCCCATTAGAACCAAGGATATATTCTAGAAAGAGATAACGAAACGAATAAAGAAATCAAGCAATAGGAATTCAATAAACTACTCGATTGTTATAATAAGAACGAATTTCATTATCAGGTCAAATGGAAATATCACTCAGTATCCTGGCAACCTATTGAAGACCTTTGCGGCTAGGAAGATACGATTATCGTTTTCCATTTAGTAAATCCAGATAAGCTAGAACCGTTCGTTTAGGTGGGTTTCAAAAGACTTATTACTCCTGATCCCTTGCTAGTATTTATATCAAGTGTATCCCCAAATCGAAACCAAGACAGACCTAAAAAACTCCATCAATTAATTACTACTCCTAAAAAAATTCATTTTAATCCAATAGTAGAAATTAAAGTATTTTAATGTTATTTTGTATTCTAGAAGGTTAATTGGTATTGCGATCGTAAACCGATCGCCTTGAGTGGGGGGTACTGTCACGGCGCCAACTATATGATCTGTAGTTGCCTTCGTGCCTCAAGCACAGAATACTAGCACGCCCTACTTTCTATAAGTAGAGCTTCACTTTTCCATAGCTCTTCTACCCTTATGGTACAATATAAGTCTTTACCCGTACCATGACAAGGGGTTAATCTGAATACTTTAGGTTGTTTATAGTATATTTAAAAAAAAGTAATATAGTTTTTTAACATTATTGTATAAGTAGTTTAGCTTATTATTTTAATAATCAAATTGCTGATAATAAGTAATATAATTGCTATAGCCTGTTTTTATAGCTATTAATTGATATAAAACTACTTTTGATAGAGTTAGTTCCTTTAGTTTCTTTGTATTATATCTAGAAAACTATTTCTTATAGTTAATAAATGCGGAGCATTCAAATCCCCCGAGCATATTATGTATTGCCGCAAAGTCCTCGCGACCTATAAAACCTGGCCCCCAGATATCAAGCCCAAATACCTATTCTACAATCAAGCAGCTTAAGAACGACTACTGAAACAGCTAATATATACACCAACCAAATTCGCTAAATTTATTGCTATAACAAACTTTTATAGAAATATATACCCTAAAACGCTATCAGAAAAATAGAAGGAGAGAAGGAAAGGGATTGATTGATCCAAGCGAACATAAACAGAGAATAAAAGGAGATAGATCTAGAAAAGCTATGTGAAAGAAAATTAAAGCACGTGGTATACTATATTGTAATAGAATATATACAAAAGCTACCTTTATAGAATAAAGCAGCTTTCAAACAAATACTATATAGAAAATCGGAAAACACATACGGAGGTATTCAGAGGATTGGAGACAAAGGCGCAAATGCGCTAGCCATCGCTTAGAAGGCTACTGAGGGTATTGAGACCCCATCCCTAGAAAAGGGGGATCATATAAACTAGAAGATCATCCCGCAGTTAGCCCAACCGTAATGCCCCCTGGGAGGCTCGCCTATACGGCCCGGTTGAAAATTACTAATAATAATAATAATCAGTGTGATAGGAGTCTCCTGTGAGTACAGGGTTTGATAGGATTAAGCCTGCCGGGGTAAGGGAAATAAATAAGGAGTATATGTTGTCTTCTGTATTATATAGTATTATATAGTATTGTGTGTTGATATATAGAACTAGTATTTAAAGACTTTTAAACTAATATCCAATCTGCTAATCGTTTTTCCTACATCGGGATTATTTTTTGTATATATTATATACCTTTTTTATAAGATAAGTGTGACGGAAACGGTGTTGTAGACCATATGGATCAGATCATGTGATGGTCAGGTATTCATTATATAGAATACTCCGGAGCGGAACAACGATAACCGGATCGGCCGCAGGACCGATCACCGCTCCCGTGATCGGTACCCGAAGATCACCCAGTATATAATCCTATCTCTTCTCTACGAGAAGAGATCAGTTCTAACTGTAGATGAGGAGATATACACATTTTCATACTTATACCATTATTGTCCAATCATTCCCCTCCATCGTGATATGCTATTGTCCTGTACGATAATAAGTAATCATTTATATAGTTTTAAAAAGTAACCTTTGGAATTCTATAATCCGAAGTAGTTTATTGGATTGAATAGCTATTTATTATTGCATGTAAAGCCGAATTAATATCAACTTCGGTATATGTCTTAGGTATGATATAATTAATGATATATCAAAATTTTAAATCAATTGATTCAAGCGTTGTGAAGTTATTAAAGAATAAATAAGAGAGGTCCCTTCTTGCGGTAAGCTTTTTTAAGGTGGCCCAAAAGAGGGGTGGCCCGAAAGTGGGGTATCCGACTTACTTAATAAGAACTTTTCAAAGTCTTCTCTCTCTCTTCTTTATATAAAAATAATTACTTATTTACTTTATAAAAACAAATCTTTCTTTATATAAAGCTCTTTTATAACATAAAAGGAAATATAAATATTCTCGAAGTATAGTATTTTATAACATAAAATCCCGCGTCTTATTCTAGTATAGACCTTTTTTAGATACTCTCCTCAAAGCCAAGCTTTTCATCTTTCTCTTTATGTTCAAGAAAATACAGGGCAAGAACGGCAATCATGAGATATAAAAAGCCTATCGTTGTTCATTAGCGACTCAATATAGTGATCATAGACATCTTACTCCAAATCCAGTTCATATATCGGTACCCGATCAGCTCCTTAAAAGAACCGCCTATGATAGGACCCAACATCATCCCAAGAGATGCACCAGCATCGAGCATCGAGAATACGCGCGACAAACAACCTTGAGACCCAAAAGCATGGGGAGTCTTTTTTTGAAGTGCTTTTCCAGCAGCTAAAAGGTCTTCTTGTTATCATGACAGTCATTATAGTTACATCATAGAAATTTGAAGCTGACTTACCAACCAACTCAGCGGGTGCGTTACCAGACACAAATGGTCGCAGGCCACCTATGATTATGATAGATGCTATATAGAGCGTACCACTTCCAGCCTGGCTACCAGAAATACCTAAAAGTCCCAGGAATACTGCCTGGATGATAGAACAAACGACAGCAGGAATTCTTGCTCCAAATCGGTCGCGAACCCAGCCGGCTATGGGGCCAATAAGAAGTCCAGGGACTACAAGACCGACAAAGAGGAGTCCAACGATAGTAGGGCCCCATCCATACATCTCTTGAACTTGTAGAGGCAGAGTGGCATTAAAGCTGGTGCTCACAGTCGTACTCGTAATCGTCATCAATAAACAGGTAACGACACGACCATCAGTCAACATAATTCTCCAGAATCTCCCGGCGCCAGATACAATTTGATCGCCCTCTCTTTCGAGAAGTAAGTTCGTTCTCTCCGAATTGCTATCCGGAGTCAAACGAGCGGTTGTATCCGAAGCCTCTATCATAATGACACGTGCCAGAAGGTCAATTATTAATATGACAAGCGGAACGGACCACGTCACCCAGTAACCTGCAACCTCTAAAAGCAAACCAGATACAGCAGGTCCACCAATTGTCCCGGTGTTAGCAAAAGATGACATCATACCCAATCCAAAGCCTCGCTCGTTCTCTTCGTAGATGCTTGCGACTGTTGCAAAGCCAATTATCCATACAGCGGAGCCAGCAACTCCTTGCATTGCGCGCCCTATGAATAATATAGGAACTGAATGAGTGATGGCTACCATACCAGTGCCAATGATGCACCATGCAAGAGAAAACAGTAACCAAAGCTTGCGGTTCGAGCTCTTATCGGCAAAATGCCCGATTATAGGACTAGATAACATGGCGAGCGCACCATGGAGAGCAAGTACGGCAGATGTGAATATCTGAATTTGAGATTGATTTATATGGAGACGCTCTTGAAGCATATACCCAAGAATTGGAACGAGAAATCCATATAGGAAAGTTTCTGTTCAGCATTAGTTGGTTCTTGAATATGACTAGAGGGGTCAAATAGACAGACCAGCAAATAATGCGATTGCAATAGTTGACAGGGTGAACCATTTGGATACGCGCCATTTATAACCTATGGGTAAAGACTTTTCGGAATAGTCCTTCATGGTGAGAAATCGATTTCAATTCAGAACAATTGAATTGATGCCGTGCAGGAATAAACAGAGATCAATATTTTGATAAAACCCCAAATACATCTACTAGATTTGTTTACCATCATTGTCTTGTTATTACATGTGAACACGGCTCTTTAATTGATGGCGTTCTAGATATCCCATTCCACAGATAATATCTCCGAGGAGGTTTCAAAAGAGTCGTTATGGTTGAAACAAAGTTTGCGCAAAATCAAGATAAATTAATTTTCAGGCGAGTACATTGTCATTTGGCTCACACGTGGATGATTATCATGGCGAAGATCAAGTATTGAGTGACACAGCACTGACGATGTATGTACTCACCACTGCCTATTAATGTAAAGATGACACTCGATTTGGATAGTCCCGCTGTCTCTAGCTACCACATTGGTGTACGTACATTACCTACCTGACTCACATAAATCTCTTTGTTGAAACCATCTCAGCTCAATGCAAAGCTTGGTCTGGGAGTTTGTAGGAGTCTCAAATAGTAATTCATCATTTCCACGGGTGAAACTCCTTGAAGACGTATCTTGATCGATTGGAATAAGCAGAATGTCTTTCTAATTTGTAGAGATCATGTATCTTTTCCAGAACAAGTGACTTTCAATAATCAGAAAAAGGGCGTCATGTGACAAGATCCCCTTACTGATGGCTGGCTGTATTTGATCATCGAGCTGTGAGTCCGAAATGAAGTCTAATAATCAAAGCTAGTGGTGTGGCACCTCTCTCTCTCTCAAGTTTTGCCGTGAAACATTCTGTAAATTTTAATTTGTGGGAAGAATTGATTCAGAAAATCTTGAATATTAAAGATCATGAACCCGTCCCGATTTTTGAAAATTATTCAGAGCAAGGGAAACTGTTCTTACCATGGCTTTCTCACACTTTTGAACTTTCAATGCATAGAGATTAATTTCACATCATGCAGCGACTTCATCGTGCTGTTCATACAGCAACAAGGGCAACAGCCGGCAATTTCACTAAGACCTTACCCATTAGTAAGACTTGTCTTTTTCCTCTTGGTTGACTTTATGATTTCAGAATACTAACTGGTGTAAGCAGATTATGAAGTTTCTAGCCTCATCCATTTGATTCAAGTTCCCAAACCTAATTTGGCCTTTCAACCATCTCACTTGAGAGCCGTACACGATGGTCTGAAAACTGAAGGGGTACTACAATTGCAGTTAGGATTTGAAGATGAGAAAAGTTCTTACCTCCAGAATCTAATCCACAATCTCAGCAAGAGCCATAACCACGGTCTTCCAATAGCCCATAGTGCCGAGCGCGGATGGTTTTGGGATGTTCGGCCCTCTCCCAGCAATGTTAAAATTCATGGGCACCGAGCTCGCTCAGAGACAATGTCTTGCTTTGATTGGCACACGGATTGCAGCTATGAGAATCATCCACCTCGATATTTTGCTCTTCAAGTACTTCAGCCAGATCGCTGCGGTGGTGGGACACTATCGCTACTGAGTGTCGATCGTCTCCTCACCTTGCTTTCACCTCAGGCACAAACGTGGCTTTCAAGCCCTAATTACAAGATCACTGTTCCTCCAGAATTCAACAAGAATCCGAGTGAACAGTGCATTATGGGAAATCTACTTAAGATGAGACCGGAAGGTGCCAGTGGAAATCAATTGCGATTCCGGGAAGATATCACCACTCCCTTAACTCCAGAAGCTGCCTTGGCTTTGAATGAGTTGAAAACAATTTTGTATGACCATGGAGCCCAGAAATGGACTATCAACTTGGGACCTGAGAGTCTTCCCCAGGGATCAATCATTATGATGGACAACCGACGATGGCTGCATTCACGAAATGAGGTCAAGGATCCCAACCGTCATCTTCGGCGAGTTCGGTGGGATGCAAGGCCGTTCTGATCTTTGAGCCAATAAAGGTTTCTTGGTATGTTCTTAACGTGCTATATAATCCCAAATCAGAGTTGTTGAGGCCAATAATAGATTATTTGCTCACCGCTTGGAATTGATTCCTCTTTCTAAAGTGATAAATAAGCTTTAAGATCCATTATTCTCTTTGTTCCATATGGTTGATCGTTTACGGAAGCTTTTGGTCCTAAATATTATACAGATCCGAAAGATTTCTGCCCAGGCCAGCAATTTGTAGTTGGATTCAGTTCTTGCTATGTAATTTGCGTATCGCGTGAGATAATAATTACAAATCAACATTGTAAGATTACATATCCTTTACTATGTAGCAATTAATTTTGACCAAAACTGTCAGTCTTTTCCTGTTCGAATTTGGCCACTCAATGAGACTTTGTGTTTTGCGACATGTTTTACTTACGTTTGTTATAGCATCTTAGGATACAATACACCATCAATCTTTGAGACTTTGAGATCTTACAGTGTCGTACAATGATGCGCCGGCCCGCTATCCCCAGCACGTTACGCATAAAACGATGTAGCTAGTAGCTACTCAAGATGAGGAGTCTGTATGATCTCATCTTATTACTTATTGCAACCATAGTCATGGAAGCAAGACGAGCGAGACACTAAATCAGACATGAAGAGTGGATCGCTGAACTATGTCAAGACTGGGAATGGAGATTCGTACACTATTCTACACGGCAGAGACTAGATCGAACGTCAATCTGTTCTTCAAATTATTTCAAACATCCACATTTAGATCACGAGATTTTGTTTAGTTTTGAAGAGGTGAGAATCAAGCTTGTAGTCGACAGGATTCGAAACGACTCGAAGAACTGTTGAAATTCAATTATTGAACCAATAAAAACATCAAAGCGTACATAAGTACTAGACTACATCTCCAGGAATGACTGAGCATACCCAGGCTCCTCCATGACTAACAGCACAGATCTTGTCAGGACTACTACGCCATGCGCCAAGGCCGAGCAATCTCCCGTGTACGACAAAATATGTTCCGATGAGGGGGTATTGAACACGAACACCGGAAGAGTTCAGAACAAGGTCATAAAGTCTTGGAGTGATGCGGCGCTGTACTACACAGGTAACTCCTGAGATTATCTGAGTGCTCCGTTGAAGTTGTAAGGCGGAGATCCAGTCTTCAGCTGTGAATTCGTCACCAAATACAATTCCTGCTCCTTTGCCACTGCGAATGGGTTTCAAGATAAACTCTTTCCGTAAATCCGGAAACTGTTGTGCAAGACAAAAGAGTCTCTCCAGTTCTTTTGATCCAGGAAGGTATGTATCCGCAATTCCTTGATCAAGAATTTTTGCCTGTGCACCAGTAATCACGCACCGCGTGACCAGTGAATTCAACTCCTGCTTCAATATACCAAGCATTCGCTTGTCATGTGTCAGAAAGATTGAACGTAAGTCATTGAAACAACGGAGACTAATTTGCCGCAGCATCTCCGGCTCTAGGGCAAGTAGCTCTGATTGGTGTAGCTCAAGACCGACCTGGTAGATTTCCTCAACAACTTCGTTATCATTGGTCCGCCAGGCTAAAGGGGAAGTTTCCTCATTTCGTCCCACTAGACAGCAAAGTTTATATCCACTGCCATCATCAAAAGGGAGAAGCCTGAGCTGTGCTGGAGTGATGATTTTGGGTCTGAAGCCGAACCGCTGTTGAACAATATGAAGGAGCATATGGATATCCATGCCCGGTTCTTTGCCCTTAAGAAGGTGCAATGAAACTCCCGTCTGAAAAAGACTGATGGTTCCGTCAAGGAGCTACTCAATGTTAGAAAGCAATTTAGTTAATATTTTGGACTGCCCCTTTGCATCTTTCGGGGGAGATTTTACCTTTCTTGGACTTGCTGCACATCTTAATCCATTTCTCCCAGCCCCCGTCTCTTCCAGACCTTCATATGCAAGGATTGAATGAAGAAAAGCATTGAATGAGAAGCGTGCATTAATCTCAGTAATGCGATAGTTTTCTACTGTCATACCATTCGCATCAAGTGCGTCTTCAACAAGAAAGTCTGGTCGCCACGAGCCCCGACACTCGCGATACATCGGGATTTTATTGTTGATAATTTGAGCTTCGAGCCACTAATCGAAGAGCAGTTAGCCATCAGAATAGTAGAGGGAACTGAAATCGTCATTGACTAGCAATGAAAGGCCTGTAGACTCACGCGTAAAAGCTGTTCTTCTCGTGGTTCGAGTGGCATACGATTAGAAAAGTGTGCGTCTTGGTCAATCCACCATCTCTCAACAATATCCGTTATTGCTAGAGTCAATGCCCCATGTAAGTCTTCTAGCTGTTTTTGGTGCTTCTTTGTGATTAAAATGGGCCGCGGACACCCTGTCTGGTAGGAGTTTCCAGGCCAAAGATGGGCAGGACATCGTTGCAGTAAGCTGTCTTCGAACTTTTCTTGCTCTCGAATGTAAGTGCCCTCTTCGACTCGGTACTCTTGGACAGGTTGATAACACTCGGCTCTTGGCCTGATGTGTATCTGCTGAAACAATTGAGAGGTTGCCTTTTTCATTTCAAAAAGTGTACAACAAAATGATCAGGAAAAGGGAAAAGGATGAAGTATATTATAGGGCCGTATGATCTCAATCAGGAGACAGCTATTACCAGGGTTGAAAAGACTAATCCAAAACGGCGAGCAAAATAGATATCATCAAGAGAACGGTGGAAGATAATACAGCTCTGAAAGAGGTGTAACTCTAGGTCAGTGTTTTGTTGCATTTTGAATGAACCATCAATATCCACACGAAGTACAAATTACATTCAAACACCCAGCTACAAAAATATCTTCAGCTTGAGGCACTTCTTTCACGAGGATAGATGCTTGTTCAGAGTGAGTAAACCCGAGACAATGTTTGAAGAGGTGCGCACAAGAACATCATCACTTGTTAAACCTTTCAATCAGATATGTCATTGAGTATTTGCGTTGCAGGAAATGCCGTCGGGTTTGCAAATATCAACACTTATAAACTATTCCCTGAGACTAGGTGGGTGGTATGGTGATGCACCACACTAACGTGAGGCAAAGATTCATGGCCAAAGATGTCGCTTGTAGCATCTCCCGCCCGATGAAACAGCAAGTGCCTAAGCAGAACTGATGGAGTTTTAAAGTGGAGCTGGTCAACAGAGCAAGTGTAACGAATAAAACTTGTCTGAGAACTGTTGTCCTCCTCTCACCACCCCCATGTTTGATAGGCCAAACTGAATGTGGATTTTCGTTGAATTGTCCCTATATTTTGGAGCATACCATCACCCCCATACCGCCATATAGTTTACGTTATGACAATCGATGCTTGGGTCCTCCACCAAGCAACATGGCTCGCACAACTCATAAACTGAAAATACGATAACATTGCCAATGCCCACTGGACCAGGAACCCATAAAACTCAATGGAAATTAGTGTACCCCAACCTAAAGTAGCCCCTACAGCAACGAGAAGGAAGAACGTAAAGGTCGCAGAAGGAACAAACAGACAAAGGCAACAATAACACATCCTAGGTACAAGGAAAGGGAAGTCAATTCATGATACTGAATACGGATTGACTGACAATGGATGTTGTTCATTGAATTATAATTGGCATTGAATGGTATATGGAAAGGAGTGAATGGTGTAGGAGAAGAGGTGGATGGCATAGCTGCTATTAGACAAGAAAAAAAGTGACTGCGAATGGCTGCATTGCTGTTGAAATATTTGTCATGTACGAATGTTGACGTTGATGCCTAAGGTTAAAAGTTGGAAAGCGAGAAAGCTTTCGAAAGTCCCGTCCGTCCACCCCGCCGAGCCCGCCTAAAGAAAGACCCCTACCTACCTTGTAATATCTAGTACTCCTACATATCTACGATTCGCAAACCAAAATCTCCCAGAATAGCTTTCACGACATTACAATCGCGAATATGCAGCGCCGTATGGTAGTATCCCCCGTTCAATGTATTGTTCCGGGTAGCACATCTTCTAACTTCACATTTCAGTTATCAAAAGAAGACGAGGCAGCAGTCGGCGCAGACGAGGTCGAAGTACGAAGAGAAGATCAGGACAAAATTAATCGATTCAGTCGTTTGCATCAACGAGAAATCGGTTTGGAGGACGAGTTAAAGTTAAAACATGTCAGTACAGTCGAGTCGAGTGCTGCGCGACCAAAACATTTCTACTATCAATCTGCAACGAATAGGTTTCTAATCCTCTTGTTATACAGAAAGAAAAGGAGGACCTAGACGATGTTTCGGGGGAACTTGAGTTGGCAGACGAAGATGACATGATACCGTACGACCTACCATCGCATTCCTTCATTATATAATTGTCACCCGTCGAATCATACTAACTTGATTGTTCAAGTTACAAAATCGGAGATTCATTCATATCCTTACCACTACCAGAGGTACAAGAATTACTTACAAAATCGACCGAGAACATCGAGGAGGAAGTGATCTTGGTGGAAGAAAAGCTTAATACAATTAGGGAGGAGATGACACAACTGAAAGTGGAATTGTATGCCAGATTTGGTCGAAGTATTAATCTGGAAACGTAGAGTATCGAAATAATTTCATAGGAACACCCAAAGGACCCATCAAAGCTCCATATCATATTCCTCGCGGTGACCCAATCACAACAAATGGCTCGGGAGAGTTGAACGGCATATGTCATGCCATATGCACTCCTCTTGAGTACATCGTACAGTCCATCATCCGACAACATCTACCGTCAGGAACCAACTTCCACATTTTTTATTCTCTCAGGGCCACCTTTATCCATCAAACGAACCTGGTTAATCGGTCAATTTAAATTAAATGACATATTCTGAGGTTGGTTTCATCTCCTAAGGCATCGAATACATACTTATTCGGTCTTCGTCCCGAATTTTGGAAGCATATGACTTGGGGCATTTACACCATACACACCAACTTGACGAATTCCCTTGGAGATCTGCCGCTTGCTTATTACCGATGAGATTGCTGAAAAAGTAGCCATCTTTACGGTTGAGTCGGCACCATCGTTCCTTGCAACCAATAAATCGGACTTGATGGCATGCAGTGGACCCGCACCGAAGTTCGACAGTGGAGAGAGCTTCACACTACGATGTAGAATTTACCGTTTACAAACTAGCAATGATCCTTCGTTTTTCAAAAGGACCATGTAATTATGGGCATATAGAAATTTCCTTGCCCAATGAAGTCTTATCTCCAGGTAAGTATATCACAGGCTAAGTTTATTTCTTTTACTGCGTATATTCATTTCACTACAATTCTTTTTCATTGTAATCCTATTTCCCTTTTGCCCCAGCTCTATACAAAATCCCAATCTGTTTATGGGTTTCAACTTCATCCAGATTACCTAGGACATCACAGAGAGGAGTGAGGAAGAGTCAATTGTTTGTAAGGGTAGCCGACCAAACAAACATGCCCAGCGCAGATCATGGACATGCAATCGCCTCACCGGGAGTCGGCGACAACGTGATAGATGAGCGTAACTTAGAAGCAGGCTCTACATCAATTGGTACGTGCAGTATTCCATGGGTAGAGCTGCAAATATACTAATGGGAATATAGAAAGGCATCAAAGTAGACTTTCTCGAATGGTCTCAGGAATTGATCACGACGATGCGAAAAGACGATATGATCTTGAGGCGAGAGACAATCATGTATCTCTTCCGGATTCATCTGCATCCAGCGTCTTGGGCACACGGAAAAACGTAATACATTGGGAGGAGAACGATCCAGAAAATCCATATAATTGGTCTTCCGTACGTCATATCTCTTCCCCTGGGGAATTTTTAGATGGGTATTCAGTTGCTCCGTAACGAAGGATGGGTCTAATTTAGAATCATAGGGGTGGAAATGTTACATTGTTCTCGTTGGAATGCTTGTGGTGATCAACAGCACCATGGGTTCTTCTCTACCTTCGAACGCGATTCCATTCATCGCTCCGGATTTCCACATAACATCAGAATCTGCGGAAATTTTACCAATGTCGATGTATCTCCTTGGATATGTGCTTGGACCTTTAGTATTTTGTCCACTATCAGAACAATTCGGACGAAGAACAATCATGCTGGCAACCTTTTTCTGCTATACCGCCTTTACATTAGGTTGTGCCTTGACACCAACGTGGGGTGGACTCTTAGCATTTCGAATTCTGGCAGGTGTTAACGCGAGTAGTCCTATATCCGTCAGTGGAGGTATCTATGCAGATATATACAAGGATCCAGTAACAAGAGGGAGAGCCATGGCGGTTTTCACTGCAGGCACTTGTGTAGGTCCTCTAGTGGCTCCAATAATTTCGGGCTTTATATCTCCTGTTCTTGGCTGGCGTTGGACTTTCTGGATTGGCTTAATCGTTGCTGGTGCATCTTGGGTCCCTCTTGTATTTCTTCCAGAAACCTACGGTCCAGTTCTACTTCTCAAACGCGCAAAACAGTTGCGAAAAGAAACAGGCGATTCCGAAATAATCGCGCCGATCGAATTGGAAAAGCAAGACCTAAAACAAATGGTGACTGTGACACTCACTCGACCTATCCGCATGCTTTTCTTCGAACTCATCGTCTTGGCCGCTTGCACCTACCTCGCCCTCGCCTATGGGATATTCTATATGTACTTTGAAGCTTATCCGATTATATTCGAAGGAATATATGGTCAATCGTCTGGCGTTTCTGGGCTTATGTTCCTGCCCATTGGTGGCGGTGCAATTCTAGCTATCATCGTATTTCTCTGGTGGGATACGTTTTTGCGCAAATCTCAAGCATCTCAGAAAGCCTGGGCGCAGAAAGAAGAGTCTCGGCGGCTGCCACTTGCCATTTTGGGGGGACCACTCTACGTTATTTCGCTTTTCTGGTTAGGCTGGACATCCCGCGCCTCCATTCCTTTTTATGTTCCCATGTTGGCCGGCATACCATTTGGAATGGGTTTTATACTAATCTTCATTGCTCTACTCAACTACTTGACGGATGCTTATGAGGTCTTCGCCGCGAGCGCCATGGCTGCATCGAGCTGCTGTAGAAGCTTAGCTGGGGCGGTGTTACCGTTTGCAGCGAAGCCCATGTATACAAAACTGGGTGTGCCATGGGCAAGTAGCCTGCTTGCATTCCTGAGCCTATTAATGTGCGGTATTCCGGTATTATTTACATGGAAGGGCGATCGTATTAGGGAAGGGAGCGTATTCTGTCAGGAGCTTAAAGAACGAAAAATGAAAGAGTTGGAGAACTTGCAAAGAGACAGATTGGTGAAAGAGCATCGCCAAAATGCGGAGGTCACGGAGAAACTTTAAGATTAAAAAAGCTAATGTCCTTTCTGGGGAGTTTTTGGTATGGGAAATGGCTTAATGGACGATCATAATGAGTACATATGACAGCTAATTTGAACTTGAATGTGAAAAAACAATGTGTAGCATACGGCTTTACCACACTATGGTTTGATTTTCTTTCTGGATACCATCATTGGGCGCAATGACTTGTTCGTTTCTTTTATTTTCAATGTTATTAGTCACTTCACAGATAATTCTTTCAGTAAGTTGGTAGATCCAACCGTCCCTGTTCTCCATCCTCACTTCTGCCACATCAAGAACACGTTTCACGAATAGTATATATCCGGCTGATTGAACCATCTATTGATCTACGATACTAGCAATTGTTGATACCGTGGAATGTCTTCGCGATTGAAAGCACGCACAAACCACTCGAAACAAATCTTGTGTACTACGCTCGAGCTCAAGGACCTTGACATAACATCTGATCAACGATTCAGAGATGGGCTTTTCTGCTGCGGGATGGAACACGTTATTTGCCGATGATTCCCGCTCGGCTCATATCCCCAACTACACGCGGCGCAATTTTACTCACATTTTCGGTCTTTTCTACACATCTCTTGGAGCGTCTCCAGGATCGAATTTTTGGTTCATGACGCACAAGCCAGGAAATTCAACAATACTAAAGTTGCTCAGAATAATCTTTTAAATGATACTTCAGCTATGCATGGCACAGCTCTTTCATAAAAGTAGAATCTTACCTCTCTTTCATCTTAATCCGTTGTGTGGCTTGGTACATTCCAATGGGTGTTGTTATTGACCCACTAGCCTCAATGGTTCATTCGAAAGACACTCGACATTCACTTCTCGATCTTTCTCAATCTAAAGCATCATGGCGAGCAAACTTCGTGATCAATGGGTATGTGTCGCCCCTTTCGATGCGGATCCGGACATCGCAGGTCCTGGTGTAAGTAGCTCAATGCATTTCCATGAAATTTCTTCCTTCCTAACGAATTCTAAAGGTTATGACAAGTTTTCTGGTTACCGCGTGGGTCACATGTTTTGTGGCATGTATCCAATTATATTGTGTCGTGTCATCTCGATTCCGTCTCAAACTTCTTTCTTCTGTGTCAGGAACCACAGCTGAGCATATTGGCAAATACACAGTCAAGCTAACGAGAATTTCCATCCCATCATCTATCGAACGAAACATCCCAAGACTCATAATTAAAGGCGTTCATCTCGGCCTTTATGTCATCCGATGTTCGTTAGCTATGTTTCTAAGCCTCTTTCGCAATTCCCAACCGCGACTACAATTATTCTCTCAAATGGCTTTGGATCGGTTGTGTGATCTTCAGCTTGTTACAGGAACCGCCATAATCATTGCAGGTATAGCTGAATTTCATCACATGTCTTTCTATCACCAATCTCTCATTACAAGCTATTGGCTGCTCACACTAAATTCGTTTTGGGCTGCTAGAGCTGGATACCTCAACTCGGAACACTATGGTCATGACAGGAGCTTTTATTTCTGGACGCGTTGGATCTTCATACTTATCAGTGATCTTCTCTCAATTTACTACCAGATCGTTACCACACTGGAGGCCGAAAACCACTGGGACTCTGAAGAAAGTGGTCAATGCTATCTTTCCCACGAACCATCACCAACCAATGCCCAATATTTCTGGATTGTGGGAATCTCCTTCGAAGTTGTTTATATGTTATTGTATTCCATGCAACAACTTGTACAGTCCTTGTCTCACAAACGGCGATGGTTGAAAGGCTCAATGAACTTCATCGCAGAAACCTCAAACGATGTATTCAATGGAGGTCAGCAACGCGCTTTAGATTTTTGGTCGGCGGTGAAATCGAGCACCTGTCGCTGGCCAATTTTCTTGCGTATTTTATTACAAGTTGTAGAAACCGTAAGCTACATGGTCTGGCATGTACTTTGGCGGATTTTGGCACTATGGGCTTGGGGAGACAACGGGTCGGCACTGATAGTTATTGGATATATTGGACTAGCAGCATGGAATACTTTCGACGTTATCGACACAAAATTGTCTAATCGAAGTTTGATAATCGGAGACGAGGACACTTGGGGGTTCGGGCAAATTTTGCCACTTAGTTTGCTCGCTCTCATATGTTTAGATTTGCTTGACATCCTCAATAGTGAGTAGTCTCTGTTCTCTCCAATATTTTTGTCGAGGATTTGACCAGTGGTAGAAGCGTATAACCATCAAATTACAACTATGGTACCGGATCTGCAGACTCAGAAAGGAGAATTGTCTCTCATGGGCACAAGAAACGAATATTCGACTTAAGTTCATTTCCAGAAGCTCAAAAGTACTCCCTTTGATCACATCTTCTGTTCATAAACTCTGACACGAAATTAAGCATCCGTGAAGCTTTTCCATAAGTTAATAGTTGCCCTAAGATGTCCAATGTTGCACCTAGATAAGCATAGGGAGTCCTGGAGTGATTTTCCTTTGCAATTCTTGTCTAGATATTTCTTCCCGACTCCAGATTTGTAGATCCTTGTGGTCTGAGCTATTGATTATTCATTCCAGATTCAAAAATATCGATTTGGAATTACATCAACCCTATATGATAAACGGAAGTAAGAACCCACACACACTTGTGTGGCCTGTGTTGATTGGCAGTATAACGACAATAGTATGCTAGTACGTGTAAAAATCACGGGCTAGCCAAAGCAGCTTATTGAAATCAATGCTCATCTATGATACTCCATCGCATCTGAGACCAACTGGACTGCATAAAATGTTCAACAGAGATCAAATTTAATTCCGCAGAATGTTTTCAATTGCTTTCAAGAAACCCCTCTTCACAAAAATGCCTCATAAATCATCTAGAATGCGTAGTCAGTAGTAGAAAGTGCTTTTTAAAGTCATTTGGAACGATGAAGTACTATCTGAGGTTCAACCCAGAGTCGTCCACGATATTGTCTGTTGATTTAATACACTACTTTATTGGATAAAATAGGTTTAATGCTCCGAAGAATTCAAGAACCAAGGCGGGACGGGGTACGAAGCCCCAATTCTGATACTGATTCTAGTCTTTGGATGACTGGTGTCGAAATCTCCTGGGCACAGCGAAAAAGCGAAACCGAAAGTTCGACAGAGAGAAGAGAAGAGACAGGAAATCTGAATGGTTTTGGAAATCGAAGAGAGGTAGCTTGCTGAGCTGAGCAGGGAAGATATCGTGAATTTTATTTAAAATGGGATAATTGTTATCAGGTAAGGAGATGGCTTGTGAATGGAATGGTGCACTTTTGATCCCGAAGTTTGAGTGGCTTACTTTTGGTTTGATCAATCACAAATGTGCCATTAAGACTTAGAAGGTCAACGATTCAACATTGTTAAGAGCATTGGGCTTTACTGAAAGAGTGGTATCGCTCAGCCATTTCGCGAATACAGTTTCCTCATCTTTCACGTAAGATTGAGTCGAAAAGCGTGCTCACGTCAGCAATAATAGAGATTAGTGCAGCTACTTCTGATCAATCCAGAAACCAAGATAAGTACACAAACTTTTTGGGTGCTGAGCGGTAAAATGGAAACGAAGACAAGTAATAGACGAAAAAACCCTCTGTGCGCATTGACGATTTCAAAATTGGATACAATACAAAACCTTCGAATCTCAAACACAGAAACCAATACTTCAAACCGCATTAACAATAGCCGGGAACAACTCATTCAGATCTCTCTTCGGCTCAAATGGTTTACCGCCTAAGCTTCCCCCTATATTACCTGCCTTAACTGAGGAAAGTTTGTGCCACTCCCAATCTCTCGCATTCATATCGTTTTCAGAGTTCCGTCCTCCTTCGACTGGTGGTATGAGGGAAGAAGGATACTCGGGAGGTGCTAGTCGTTTCATGAGGGAATTACCAGCAGGGCGGGCAAAATAACCAACTACATAGCGGGTCATAGAAGACTGATCGCCGGGGGGAGAGGTGACACGATGCATAGCTGAGCGAAGGATTCCACCAGTCCATTCAACCATTGCGTCGCCAAGGTTGACTATACATGTGGATGGTCGAGGTTTAATATAAGTCCAAGAAGACTCGAGATGAGGATCTGAATGATGAAATTTAATTATGGCGAAACTTTGAAATTTTGAAATGGAGTTACGTACCCGCGTCATCTTTGAGAATTTGGAGACCTCCAGTTGCACTAAAAAGAAGGGTTAGTGCAGTGATATCGGTATGCCCCATCATGGCAGTACGGCGATCATCGGCTGGCTATCAATAATTAGCATAGTTTCGAGATGCGATTCCACGATGACACACTTGGAATGATGGGAGATGCAGGAAATTTCGAGCTCACCTGAGGCTCATACTTCAGCATTCGCAAAACACTGCCGCTTGGCTCCGTCATCGGTTGCAACTGTGCGAAAGTACCCAGTGGAAGCTTCAGATGCTTTTCCAAATGCCCGAGAATGATATTTACAATTTCGTTCGCCTGTTCAACATATGTCTTCAATTGCGGTCGACAACGCTCGATACAGGCCGGGTTAGCAAGGAGTTCGGAAGCCCCAGTTATGTCATCGCGACTGATTCCGTAGAGCTCGACTCGATCTCCGACTTTGCCAATCTTGTGATAGCCTAAGGGCTTGTAGCTAAACATGATAAGAGACCAAATTAGTCGAGACTTCTGTAGTCCTGAAAGAACGTGTAAATTTGGAATAAGAAATGATGAATTATGAAGGCAGAGGTACCGAAAGAGAGAAATTGGGGGATTGTAGGAGTATTCATTAAGCTCCAGTTTGGGGAGTGCATATAATTCTGCATTCAAGTCGAACATTTTCTCGGTATTCTTGAGAAATTGATCACCAAACAAACACCCAGTAAAATCAAGCTGGAAGCTACGGTATTGATAATTAGCAATTTGCCGCGAATAACTCTTTTTAGAAAAAGCACAAATGTTGTCGGAGAAGAGTCAATGAAAGATAAATAGATAGACAACATGATCAATGCGTGCAATGAACTTGAGTGAAATCAAGCAATATAATTTGCATTTCTTATTAAATAATATAGTGCATTCAATTGCGAAGATTTTGCGTGGGGACAGATCGAAAGATATTCGGAGGATTGGAGAGAATGATTTGCCGTTACTTACAAACCTATATGACGACTGGCTTCGAAAAGAGCGCAGGACTCGTGTCCGTCGTTGACTGCAAGTTTAGCGAAGGAAAAAATGGGCATATCTGCCACTGGGATATTGGAGGGAAAGGGGGGATATTTGGCAAAGTAGGTAGGAGTAGGCATTTCGAAGCAACTAACATGAGATGATGTGAATTCAAGCAGCGAAGCGAGGAGTAGAGGTTTAAATATTAGATATATATACCTAGCATCCTTTCAATATTCTTTTCCTTGGCAAGCTCTTTAAGAACGGGAAGTTATATTTGCGAGATATATAACTAAGTTCCTATAGCCTTGAATTTTTTTGTGCTTTTCCCCAAGTAATAAAGAAAATATTCTTCCCTTTCATCTACGCTTCAAGGAAGGAAATGAAAAACTCTTATATTGAATCCCAATGAAATAGTGATTACACAGGTATATCGCTGTTGCAACAAGCTTACAATCAGTTTTTGGCGAAGTTAACCATTGGTGGCTGTCATGCTTGAGTCACAGCTTCTGATCAAAATGTTACTTTATGAGGAGTTCCTTTGACAGAGATATCATTTTCCCACCATGAACCTGCCAAGTCTATTTCGCGTGGGAGCATTTTTCTCTGGGATATATCTTTCTCGAGTCTCTTTCATGATCAGGGGTGTTCGATAGCTTCTTGGTAATCCAAGAATGAAAGAGTCTGGAACATTCATTTCTCTTTTCAGGTAAAAAAAACAAGGCTGCTGGATTGATTTGAACTGAAAATTTGAAGCCAATAGTGCCATTTTCAGAATCTTGGACAAGAAATCTTACATCAGACTGGAATCCATGACTTGGAAAACATTGCTAACGGCAATTGTTGGGCATAATAAAGCTAGACACATTGTTCAAAAATATGGCTGAACTCGACAACACGATGAAATTTCAGGTACGATCGTTCCTAAGTTCTAAGTTTATTCTACTGCTGGGTTGAATTTGATCGATCATCATTCTTCTGTAATTCGCTAATCTCTTTGATGGCCACGCGCCTTCACTTAATCTTACTGGCTAGCTTTTGCCGTTCCCTATCGGGATTGTCAAAGACGAAATTGGTACAACGCTTGCTTTTTCAATCTACACGAACGAGCATGAAATGACGTTTAGTCAGTCGCACCAAACCCAAGATGGCTGTCCGCCGTGAAAGCAGAAAGAACAAAGCTACAAATCCATCCAAGTCGCAGAATGTACGCACTTGTGCAAATGTTCTTCCATATCTATTAACATCATTGCATAACTATTGTAAATAATCTTAGATATAGATGTAAGAAATTAATCAAAGAATCTTCATAGGTTTGTTGTTGTCAAAAGAAAACAAAGTCACTTCTGGGAAACTCTCATGCCAAGGTGCAGTCGAATTGTGATGGCTGCCGTGGCTTGGAAGTTCTGCATCCTTGGGGGACTTGCCGCTCTGATCACTGCTAGCAAATGACGGCAAGTGTTAGAAAATATCATTGCCCGACCCGAGACAAATCCCGAGAGAATATTGAATATGGTCAGAAGACGGTGATAAATTTCCTTGCGCTCCTGACGTTTCTTATTGTTGAACCAATAATGCAGATCTGGCGGTTTAACAATGATTGCTAGGTTCCAATGGAATGCATCTTGAATAGTGCACCTATTGAGTGGTATAGATAAAAGTTCGAGATACTTGGATATGTGTGGGACAGACGGGACAAACCTTCAGTCGAATGAAAGCATGAGGAAGCCAGAACAGTAGAATTTTGATCGATGTGGTCTAGTTAACAGTTTTTCTCCATCAAATCAAAAGTAATACGACAAAATGTCACTTTCAAAATTTAACAATCATGGGGAACTCCAAAAAGAGATACGGAATTGCCTTTGAAAAGATACGGTGCAGTTTCGCAGGTGGCACTTGCCTCTGAGCTACATGGAAACCCTTTGCCTTTGAAGAAGTGTTCGTCTTATTTTTGGGCAGGACTGAGAATATAAGGAAAGGAGCTGTACTCTTCTTATCATGAAGCTACGTATTCAATATTGTTATACAAGCCCAGGGTATCTTAATGACTCCTAATAACTCCCAATGCGACTACCGCCAATCGTAATATAGTATTAACCAAGTGATCACAGTATAATCAACGAAGTTCTGGCTCGGACATGAACCCAGGCTCACTCAAACCACTCAGGTCCGGCATCTTGTGTCCACCCATTTTTGCCTGCGTAAAATCCTTCCAGAATTGATCATCATCACCTACATCTCCGCGCTTCAAATCATCGTCAGGCCCTCCAAATTCTTTCGGATCGATCGAAGAACATGTATCATCCTCCTCCTCATCGAGATATGATGGCGGAGGAGATTCATGACGTTCGTCGTGAGAATATATCTTCAGTCCACGAACATGTGTATCCTTGCCATTCTGGTGATTCTCCAACACCTTGACTTGTATAATGAATGCGCGTAGTGTTTTTCCATCTGAGCCTCCTCCTACGTGATCAAGGTTGACATCAATCCAACCTTTCGGTTGAACAAACGATAGTTCAGAAAACGGAATTAGATCGTGGTAGCCTGTGCCTCCAAGCAACTGGATACGTGTTGGAGTATAAGATTCATCGGCTTCGAAATCAAGGAATATTCGAATGGCTCGAATCTTTGCAAATTTGGCAAAATGAATGTTAAGGTAATGAGGCTGGGGTCCATCGGATCTGCAGGCGGGATATGTCAGTGAATGTGCAAGTCTATTACCGAGTAGAGACGAGAAAGTATATAATTCCTTACTGCCAGAACAAATTTGTGTCATCGTCCCGGAGTGCAAGAACTCCACAACCAGGTTTACTACTAGAAACAGTCCAGCTAGCCAAGTTTCCGATTTCTTTCAGCCCGAGAGCGGCAGGGTCGAATAATGGTGTATTATCCATGGTAGCTAGATGAGGTGAAAAGTTAGATCGATTATACATAATGGGTGGTGAGGTTGTGCATTGATATTGGGAACGGGAATCAGAATACAATCGAAGTGCTATGCTGTAAGATGTACTGGTGCAGGTTGACCGGTTGGAGAGTGCGGAGTGAGAGTAGACATCTTCAGGTGCAAGGGGTTCTGGTTCCGATTGCGTTTACTCTTTCCTCTCATTGTGTTGGTGATGTGTGCGGAAGGAAGGGGGAAGCGGGAAAAATAAAATTATCAAAACGAACCTTCAACTGCAACATCGTCCAAACCTATATCCTCGTCCAGGTTTTCTAAATCTTCAATGACAGGATCACCTTCGGATTCGTCTTCTCCTTCTTCTTCTCCTTCACTTAAATCTTCTGTGCCTGTGGTTGAATCGAAATCATCTTGTGTATCTCCAGCTAATGATAACATACTCTGAATGGGGGTAACATTATTTTGATCAAACGGATTGGTTGTACGTCTTCTCCTAGTATTGTTATCAATTCCAAAGTGCTCTTGATAATTGACAGTAGGGGTATGTGATGGAGGCATTATTAACAAATTGGCAATGTTTTCATCGATGTGAATTACGAAGACATTGATTCAAAGCTAGGCTCTCAAGCTAGCAAACAAGGGAACAATTGCACACATATTTTGCATGATTTATCTCTACACCGCTTACTATTTATGGACACCGCCCTTGTTCCTGTCAAGCCACACGAATGTTTATCACCCCGGCCTACCCAGGAGCCAGAAGCTAGTAGTTTGAATGTATCACGTGTCGTTTTCCATTTTCTCCTCCATGGATCCTTCTGATCATCTCGCATTGCCACAAATCTCTATTCATCCCAAGAATTGTTAGCTTGTCCACTGCTCCCCAACCGAACCGAACCGACGATTCCGACATAACCGAGTTCAGGAACGCATGTCGAATGGGTTTCACAGTTTAGTTTGTGCGTTGGGATTAGGTTCGGAATGTTGAATACTAGCATAAAACGTCTAGTCAATCCTCATGCATCTGAAATATGTGATGACTTTTCAATGGACACCTCTTCCGTTACTTCAGATGTCAAATACCCATACCTACCGGTAGTCCTCTCGTCCCATCTCATACCAAAAATAACGTCTTACTCCAGAGAACACGAACTAGTGTTACAACAGAGCCACTTATAGTATGCTATTATACCTCCCAAGCTTATTGCACGGCTGGAGAATCATAGTAACCTGTGTGCACCCGGAGATACATAATCTCCATTCAAGTGCCGGAGCCAAAAGTTTAGTCCAGATTGTTTGTTGCCTCCGTCCACCGGGTTCCAGATTGCAACACTCAAACGATCCTTCACTGCCTCGACATTACTCATATCGATCTAGTTAAGTTTGATAGATCAAAGAGGCAGTGATCATAGTATCCGAACAAACCCCGACAATTTATTCATTTTGTCAAATGGTCATTGGATGGAGAAGTGGAAATATGGCAAGTAAAGTTTCGACTGCCGCGAAATCGGGGACCTGGAATCTTTTCAAAATGACGTTGACTTGTGTTGAAAGATGCGGTACTCGAGTAAATATTTATACCCAAGTAAAGTACTCGTTCGTGTGGTTCACAAAAATCAGATAGTAATTCTCTCCTCTTTACGTTAATAACTTCCCCTCATTTCCATATCCACAAAACCCCACACCATTGTGAGGACTTCCCAACCTTAACGTACGAAGAGCTATTCTTTCCAATCTCGGAATATTGAACTGTTAATCAATTGGTAATGCCTACTATTTTATCTGGCCTCAAAAAGTAAGTACATGCATGTTCCTTTACCGTAGCCCATCTAGAAGAGTTTTTTTTTTTCATTCAGTCAATGATTCCACGTATGGGAATAGCATACTAATCTAACTCTCAGACTCAAAGAACGTCGAGCTCACGCCAAAGAGCTTCGAGCTCAATCGAATGAGTTGCACAGATGCTATCAAGATATGAAAGCCGTGGACGATCGATATAACAAACCCCAGACGTATCATGTGGACCAATTTACACATACGAATGGAGATGCAGATAAATTACAAGACCTGCGTGCTACGATACCACGGGAAATAGAAATAAGGCCTTCAAGCGACTTATCGGCACGCCCATGAAGAAAACGGAATCGCAATATGGTCGTGATGGTCTCGTGTGCTTCAAATAAGACTCATTTCTCATAAAATCACCGAGTCAATTTCAAGAGAAAGGAATATCTCTGGACTGGGGGCCATGGATCGTTAGACGAAGTAGGAGAATCCCAGTTCCCTCGTTTGTGAAGTGGTCGAGTCGAATTTGAAATATTTATGGTTGCGTCAAGGTGATACGATGGGCATTTATACAGCATTGTCACTCCATTCGTGTTGGATTTGGAGTTTACGGTTATCCTTGCAGCGATTGGTGGCCGGAGCAGGAGGAATTTTGACAAAGTGCAGTTCATCACTTTCTTTGTGTGTAGGACAACTTGTATATTATATCGTTATCGAAAAATCATCTTTCAAACCCAAGTAAGCTGCCAGTAGCCTATGTTTATGCCTCTTCTCCTTTCCTCTCCTAATGCTATCCGACGAGTACTCGAGATTTCCTTAAGCCATTGGTATCATACAAAGCCTCCAATCCGAAATAAAACGCCATATAATGCATTTTGATCGTCAAGTGTAAAACAGACCCTTTTATCTGTGTAATATATGTCGATAACAATCCAGTCGATTTTCTCCCAGACGAATTCTAGCACTTCAAACCGCACACATCCAGAGGTGGTTGTCGCCCATTAATCCCTTCATCTTGGCGGTTGTGTCCGCCATCCCCAACGCCACGTCGTCTTGTGCTTGCTGTTGTCTTGTCTTTTCCATGTCTTTATTCTTAATCTCGATCAACAACTCGCTCTGATATTGCCATCTAAGAACGTTCCATTGGGCTGGTACATTCTTGGGTATCTTGTTCTCTTTCAAAATCGCAGGTTTACTGTAAAATTTGCCTGGTCAGTTTAAACTTTTTCTTTACCATTCACAGCCTTCTCTTGCTCGCTCCTCTCTCCACCTCTAGCTCAATTCATATTCGAGTATAAGGAACCAGAGGGACATTGGGGAGTATGATACTAACTTCAATTCTTCCTCATTAGCCCAGCGATTTGTGAACCTTCCAAGAGAGAACCTGGCAAACTTCGCGATATGCGGAGTGAAAGTATGTACAACCATGGCTTCGTCTGTTTCTTGACGTCTTAATGGATATGGTTGGTTGCGAGAGGGGTTTGATTGATTTGTCTATGACGAGATGGACAGAGTAGACCAAGAAAAGCAAGACAGCGCAGCGCGCTCCGGATGAGTAAGTTACTCTGCCAACGATTAAGTATGCAGACAAAACTATGGAATTGAAAGATACAAAGGAAAGAAACGAAAGGAATGGAAGTGTAGGGACAAAGGATACATAAATACTACCTCCACAGGTCACTACCGGCCATCTACTCCACAGAAGCTATCTGCCCTACCGAGATTCATCTTAAACCGCTCAATTTCACCAACGAAGCAGTTCTGCAGTTATGCAGGGAGCAAGGAGGACGATTCACAATTTCAACCACGCTCGAACAAGCCTAAAACAAAGTGGAGAAAAAGGGCTGACACTAGTCGTATCACATTCGGTAGGTCCAACCTAGAATACCAACAATTGTTCTTTGGCTCCACTCTACCTCTGGGCGGTATTTTTGGGGCGGTTCTCAACGGGATTGGACCCCAAAAGATGTGATCCATAATTCGACCGAAGCCGCAACTCGCTCCACGCTGATAGTCAAACACGCCAAAGTCATGCTTTTCCAACCGTCCTGCTCTTTTCTGATTCGTGGTAGAGATCTGGACCACCGTGATCTTCAATTCGTAAATTCGCTTCATGTCGGCTTAGAACAATTTAGGTCACCGACCAACGAGCAAGATAACAGTGCAAGGTGGCTAAGTAATACTGTGAAGATTACCGTGCTCATATATGTATGCAAAATCTTGATAGATAAGTGATTTACCACATGCTTTTACATACCAAAGTATGTTGTCTCCAGCAAGACGTTTTCTTACCACATCGAGCAAATCTGAGTGATGTCGAAAAGTTGTGCTGGCGTTTCAAATCCTTACCAAGGAACATTCCTACTGGTTTGCATGCAGAAACGTGGCTGGCTTGGTTCGTGATGTACAGAGTACTGAGTATGTGACTTGATCAAATGGAAGAAGGCCGCCAACATTGACATATTTGAGCATTGGAATCTTGATTCGACATTGACATGCTCAATTCTGTCAACCAAAAACTTCTCTGATTGGAGGATTGATGATACCGTGATGAAGGACGTGTTATCGTTGGCATAGGACGCTATTTTCTCTCAATTCTTCAATCTCCGTTGAAGTTATCTTTCAGGGACAACATGTCCAGAAATCTTCAATCGAAAAAAGAAAAGCAAAATGCTTTTCTCTTTTGCCCTGGGTATGGGCCCTACGGTAAAAGTGTGTATATTAAAATTGTTGCTCTGTCCCAGTAACATAGGTAGCTTGATAGTGAAAACTGTCCCGTTTGAAGTTTTCGCTGGTGGGATCGAAGATGGCATTGTTGACTACGAGGTAGTATATGGCAACATTGATTGACCTACGATAGCATGCAAAAGTCCCGAAATCTGGTAGGCCTACCATATTTGCCAGACTGATCTTACCGGAGCAAACAGGTGGAATTTGGTTATGAACCTACGATACCGCTTCATCAATATTTGACACTTCGCTGGCTTTCCAAAGACTGCTGCCATGGAGGCAGAATAATTGTGAAAGAAACATATCTTCAGTCAATATTTTGAGCGATTGGCAGCCAATACAAAGGAGTGTATTAATAAGTTTTATCTGATCTCATAGTGATCATAGGCTTTGAAGGTCGAGACGGTGGAGAGGAGTATCAGGTGAGTGAAATGAAGCATGAATATAATCAAAATTACAGAAATCAATGAACACGAGTTGAGTTGAAAGCGACCTCGAAACCAAATCTTGCCGCAAACATCATGTGATTTGTTTGATAAAACAATAGCTTATGTAATCACCGTCATCTTTCATCTCAGTTTCCGGCGTGTCTGGATAATTACTCCGTGCAATAACTGCATCACAGAATTCGCAAGCAAAGCAATCTCACAACGAATCCCTACTGTCTTACTTATTAGCATCTCGCCTCCGATACATTTCAATATAAAGAATCAGTATCTTTCCATCGGACATATATCTCAGGCGTGTTTGTTAAAAGAAAATACTTGAGACCATTGTCCGTCTATCTGTATTCCACGGTATTCTGACAAACCACCATGCGTCTTCACAACCTCCCAACGGAAACCGCATTTCTATCAACCCTCCTCTTTCCACTCTTTTCTTCCGCGCTTGGAAATTTAGATTGTACGAACATAGTTGTCGACAAAAAGGCGTTCAATTTGGAAGCATTAGGTGGACCACGGTCGGCATTACACAGTGTTGAAGATGATGTTGGAGAAGCAAAAGGATGGACAAATACAACATACACAATCGACCTTTGCAACCCTATAGTCAAGAAGGGGTTCTATGAGTGTCCAGGTGGGACAAGAGGTAATGTCTCTCCTTATTCTAGGTCTTGTTAAACTTTAGCCACGAGCCAATTCATCGTGTGTTACTCAGAGGGTCTTGGTTCACTAACATCCTTGATGGAACAGTTTGTGGCATAACACATGTTATCAATGAAGAGGAAGGATCAGACGCAACACAACAAATTGTTCCATTTGCAGGCGAATTACAAAATTACGGCGGAGGTCCTCTCGACGCTAAAGTGGAACGACTTAGCAACTCTAAATCTCATTCAGACGCCGACAAAGAAGGATTGCGTGTAGAGCTAAACGGTGGCTTTATCGGACGAGGGAAGAATAAGAGACCACAAAAAGCCATCGTGGAGTTTATTTGCGATGCGAACAGAACTGGGCTGGAAAATTTGTGGGTACCACCAGAGCCGAAAAACAAGCAGAAGGATGAGGAGAAGCACAATAAGAGGGAGGAAGAAGGGAATGATGATGAAGTGATTGGAGCGCCAGGCAACGATTCGAGTCTTCAATTTGTTAGGTTAGACAAGGATAAAGGCGACGCAGATATCCTAAGGTTGACTTGGCGCACAAAGTATGCTTGTGAGGATGGACCAAAGGATGATGGTGATGACAGCAAAAGTTCACATTGGGGGTTCTTTACTTGGTTCATTATTGTGTATGTTTTTCCGTCCCCTGGTCGCTTTATTTTACATCTCAGGCATAAAAGTAGTGAACGTAGCTAACAACTTTTGACAGTGCATTCCTTTCAACGGCCGCATACTTGATTTTTGGATCTTGGCTCAACTACAATAGATATGGCGCTCGTGGATGGGACCTTCTCCCCCACGGAGATACGATTCGTGACGTTCCATATTTATTGAAGGACTGGTCCAGAAGAGTTTTGAGTACGGTACAAGGTGGTGGAAGTAGAGGAGGTTATGCGGCAGTATGACCAAGAGCCTTGGTCATCATCTGAGGGGCTGTGAAGGAGCGAATTTTCATATTTATAGGCATTGCAATACTGATAATTATTGGCGGAACACAATCGAGAGAGCGACAGGAGTTAGGCATTTCTAGTGGAGGGCATCAATTTTGTATATCAATTATCATCTTGCTTTCCCTGTTCGGTGTCAATTCTAGTTCTTCGCCCTTCTTACAAGCTTTCTTCTCTTACCGCAGTTGTACTATATGTACAAATATCTCCAGATGCTGGCATGCTAGACACAGCTGACCGCCAACGCATTTTGAGTAAGATTGCACAATATCAGCACTCGCCCTGCAAAAAGCTTTCTGCTGTCCCATGCCATTCAATTGTTCGAAGCAATTTGTATTTTGAAGGCATGCCTTTCGCAGGCGTAATTATGCTTCAGTTCCAGGATGAAAATCAATGTATCTCATAAAATCACCTTGCAAGGCTGGTACCCGGGCAAATATGATGGATCGAGAAGTCTCGCAATCATCTAACGAGATCAGTGTATCCATCATGACACACTATATAAGCATGGGGGCCATTTAAAAGTCTAGGCATTTTTCATGAGGCTCAAACTTTGGAGCGTTGCGGCTATGTCGCTTTCAGATACCAATTTCTGGCGTTGACGACACTGGTTTAAACAGATTGATCGCCCGCGCCAGGTAGTTTCCTCTGTATCTGCATTGCGGCTCTCCCTTTCAACATCTTCACGAGCCATTATTATACCATCGAGTGATAGGCCTTGTGGCTTGAACGATTCAGGAAATTTGTAAAAATTGTGTGCTTACACTTCAGGGGCGGTGGAGATCTTGCCTTTGCGACCACCTTGGATGTCAAATTTCCTATTCATTTGAACCTCTGGGCCCTCGGCACGTGCTCAGAGTTGTTATGATGCTAGGTTTCATCCATTCTCTCAATGCTATGGCTTTATTTACTTATTTATTTATTTCTCGGTTCTCCTGTAGAATTTCCCTTTGAAGTTCGATTTCGTGGTTCCTATCATCCTTCCTAGCAAACTACCATTTCTTCATCGAGACTTGCAAAAACCTCGCGATTGCTTACTGATGATGGTATTTGATGAGCCTAATGCGAGGAATTTCAGAATCTTGGAGAGGAAGAAACCTGGTTTGGTTGTAATTGCATTGATATTTCTTTCTTCGTGGTAGACTTGGGTCAAGAGTCGGCTGCTGTAACAAAGATCAATGACCTTCAAGAGGAATTTCAGCCCATATGTTGACATCGTTGACAACTTTTTTACCTAAACATGGATTATCAAGTTTTGTGATAGATCATCGTGTTATCCTACAGTTGAAGCCACTTTGGCAGAATAAAGAGGTACGGAAGCTGAGTATATCTAGAGCAATGTCTTTTCTGTCGTTTCCACCAGCTCGTTGAGATCATGTCTTCTAGTCGGTCAGTCAGCTTCCAATGTAAGTCGCAGATAAATTTTAATTTCTCTTCTTGGCCTTTTCCCATCTGCAGTGCCCTTGTCTGCTGCCATACTTGTTCACAGTTGACTTGGTTATAGCCCCAGATCCCGCAAAAGGACAATTACACATATATGAGCAGTGAATGTATGCATGTAGCTTTTGATTGCTTCCTAATCATCGAGGCGTCATCCTTACATAATTGTACCCTGGGAAGTGCGGTTATTCTCTTGCTTGACCCCTTGGGAAAGAATGCCCTGAATCAAAAGGTGCAACGTTTACTATCCAGTAGATCAAACAAACGGGGCAACTTTGTAGTCAGCAGATCTGCAGTCACTTTTTCCCATTTTCGTCACAAAAACGCAGTCATCGGTCGAAGTGGGCGAGTTCAACCAATTTCGAGCTGCTTGCCTACAGCCTTGTCAGTCTGACATGCGCCACTTGAAAAATAAAGCCTCAAGCAGTTCGAAAAAATTCATTGGTCGCCGAGTACAAATGCCCCAAATGCCCTGATCCACTTTTTTACTCTCACGACATCGTTTCGACATTTTCTCTTTTCAAGTCAAATAAGTATAAGAAGTTATCAAAGAACTTTGTGAAAACCTATCCAACTCATTCATTCTTGCATACCAATATAAAAGGTCCATATACATCAAACATTCTATACACTTCACAATGCCAAATTCAAACCAATTATCGCCACCCCCACCTGCCTACACTAATCATGGTGATGTATCTGTAGCAAGTAATGAGACACTGCCAACGGCGCCGGTAAATCAGCCAACTACCTCGATTTCTCATGAAATAGTAGATTCAGCTGCGACGATTCAGCAAGTCGATGCACCAAGTTTCACGATAACAGCGCCTGAGAATTCAGGATTTATGGCAGGCTTCAATACAGCAGAAAGTGACAAAAATTACCCCGATGGATTGCTTTCGAAACTTGAGAATGTTATTCAGCAGCTGGAGTCATCCCAGGAAGAACGACTTATTACACGGCTTGAAAATGTTCTGTCACGCCAGGCAGAGGCAAATTCCAGTTTGTTAAGTGAGAAGACAGACACCAGAAAACCAATCAAGCTTAAAGATGCAGTCGGGAGACGCTTCAGCTTCCCTTATCACCGATGTGAGACCTGGGCAGTAAGTAGAATCAAACTCCTTCAGTTTTCTTGTCAAATTAATTAACATTCTCAGGGAATCTCAGAACTCATTAAAGCAGCATTTCTTCATGTCGAAATCATCGGCCCACATGTTAACGAAGGACATTACGATATTATGAATCCGGCTGGGGAAGTCATCCTCCCTCAACTCTGGCAAGATCATGTCCAGCCTGGATGGGAGATCTCCATGTCAATGTGGCCAATTCCCGGCCCTCCCAAGCCAAGATTTCCAACACTAACACCGAATGCGCCGGTACATGTTATCGTGGATAGAGTACTTGGACCTGCTCCAAATTGCTTTCGGTCGCATCAACCACCCAGTTATTCTAGTGATCTGAGTGCCCAGGGCAAAGGAACTCGGGGATTGTGGCAAAAAATGAAAGGTGTATTCACAAGGAAAAAGTAAGTTGGAGGAGAATTACCTTGACTGAAGATGTAAACTAACTTTGCTTAAGGCTGACCTATGACTCGGACAGCAGCGAATCTAGTTGCTGTAATTGATTCCCAGTTCATCGTTTTCCGTCAGCCCAAGTTCGGGGGGTTTGCTCTTGACACGAATGAGTTTATTTCATTTTACACAAGTCAAGTAACTGCTGGACCGTGGAAATTTACCAATCATTCCATAATTAGTCACCATTAAGAGATGTTCAAGATAAAGTTATGTCATCGACAGTCGTGCTTGTAAGTGTTTCAAAATTGATGGATTTTGATGGAATGGAATGGCAGGCTAGGTGGGAATCGGCAATGTTGCTAGACGTTTCACAATTCTAGATTATCACAAACCAAAATTTTATAAGTTTTTACCTCATACCAAGTCAGAACATTCCTTCGCAATTTTATGATCACTTGAATTGAGCTGAAAGCTCCCTCTGGGGCTCTTCACAACATAGCATGAGAACATTCAAGAACACCACTCCTTGTAGGACAAGTACATGCAAGGATTCTAGATAGATACAGCGGTTTAATTATTTTTTCTTTGATATGAGTTACAAAATGACTCGGCTAAGGTGCAAATCTCGTGTTTGCGAGCCATTATGTTCCGCAATATCCATACGTTGACCGGTATTTCTACCACCACCACCACCACCACCATCACCTCACCTTCCCAGATTATCAAATTTGAAAGAGGAGTTAAGAAACAAATAAACAGAACAGCAAAAATGTATTACTCCGGGTGGGACTTGAACCCACAACTTTCGACGGTCATATTAATCTGATTTCTCAGAAGAATATAAGATCGACACGCTAACCATTCTGTATGATAAGTAATGTCAGTTTGAGATCTTTATTTTCTTTATAGGTAGCAGTCGCATTAACTTACGCGTCACCGGGGCTTTCATGTTTGGCATGTTTGATGGAATCGGTACGGTTTTTTAATAGTTAATCATAAACTTGAGAATCTGGGAAGGATTGAGTGAATTGCAGTGGGTCATTGTGGAACTTTGCCGAAGTTTGCTGAAGGTAGGTATTATAGCTTGAGAAGGAACGATGACTTTGCATGAGTGCCTGTCGTCAAGTCTGTACTTGGAACTGTCTCGTCAAGATCATTGGCTATGAACAACATATTCCTCAAACATCTATTCCCTCAAAAGATACCCAATAGTCCAAACTGTAGTTCAACAATACAAGGTTTTGAATATCTAAAAGCAATCAAAAATTTGACCAGAATTCAACATTCCAATCGAATTCAACATCTCAAATGATTCGAGTATTCCAGCTAGTTTAGGGATATAATAATCTTCATTTCTGAACTGCAATCCGAACTATTGAACACTCTGTTCCTTAAATGATATCCAATAAGATAACTAGTATAAGAATCTAAATCCTCTATCAACAGCAACTTCTTCTCCCTCGCCCTCTTCGACACTCCTTCCTGGGGCAGCTCTACTGTTAACTCCCTCTACAATCTCCCCTCGATCTAACTTCTTATTCAACCCAATCAAATGAAATCGGAGTATCGTTGCAAAAACAATCGATACCACTGACATTGAAAGATTAACATACATTGCTTTCGCATAACCAGGTGCATCGCTGCCTATGAGAGGTTAGAACGATAATTTGCCAACATAAATGCAGCACCAGGGGTAATGAGAGCTTACTAGGATAAAGGTATGGTGAATAAATTTGAGCCACGTTACTCAACGCATTGATACCGGCGAGAGCAGCTGCACGCTTAGATGGAGGTCGAGGAAGTACTATGTACCATCACATTAGTCTCTGCAACCAACCCGGAGCCATTATTCAACATACCATTTGAAATCCAACTAAGTGCAACAACGTATCCCGAATAGTTTGCTCCCACCATGAGGCACATAGCCAAGTATCTCGGTGCAAACTTAGTCGTGCCAGCTGCAATGGCAAAACTGATGAAAGCCAAAACCGGTGGTCCAGCAATGTGTAGATATCTTTCACCACTTGCATCTGCATGCCATGCATTACAAAGAATGGCAATAACAGCAATTAGATATGGGGGTGTCGTCAAGAGAAGTGTCTCGATATTGCCCCTGCCAAGCCCTTTAACAACTGATGGGAACAGAGTGGTGACGGTGCCCGCGGATGTAAATCCATAGATAGTGGCGAGAAGAAGCCATGCTTTCGGATCTTTCGCAGCAAGTTTGGCGCCGTGTAAGAATGTTTGCTGCTTGCTATCAACCCAGTCGTCTTGTCCGATATCTTCTTCTAATCTCCAGGCTGCGAGTTCTTTCTCGTCTTCAGATAGCCAACTTGTTGTACGTGGAAGATCGGGCAGGATGAAAAACGCAAACAGCGCTATGAAAACCTGTATTTGTTAGTGAATTGGAACTTCGAAAAATTGAGGAGTAAATTTTCGAGGACGAACTGTAATCGCGCCCTCGACGATAAAAAGCCACCTCCAAGCACTAAGACCTCTGGCGCCATCCAACCCATTTGTTATACCTGCCGTGATTAACCCTGAGAACGCACCCGAAAGTAGAGATCCTGAGTATAAAAGAGCCGTTCTTTTGACTAGTTCTTTACGTGTGTACCATGCAGAAAGGTAATACAGGCAGCCGGGCTAAATTATGATTAGAAGATGATGTAGTGTGAGGTGTAGTGAAATATATGACTTACAAAGTAAGCCGCCTCAACAAATCCAAGAATGAATCGACAGGCGAGTAGACCACCATAAGTTTGACACCCAGCTGTAGCCCCCGAGATAACCCCCCAAACTACCATACATCCAGGAAGATAAAGGGACGGTTTGCCAAGCTTGTTAAGAAGAAGATTAGATGGCACTAATAGGGTCCTCGTCAGCAATACTCCATGATCTTGCTTGCTTCTGGGCTCGGGCAATTACCTTGCATCAGCAAATATCCCACAAAAAGAATACTAACAGAAGTCTGAAACTGATCTCCAGTCAACTGTAAATCTCTTTCTAGTCCAGCTAATTTTGCAGCAGCGATATTGTTACGGTCCAGGTAGTTCATGACATAAATAAGAACAATCATAGGAAGTAATCTCGTATCGACTTTTCGCCTCAGTGAAGTTTCAATTCTCTTACGATCTTCTGGTGTAAGATTGCGTACGTAGGCTGGAACACGACCAGATTTCGCGGGTGTTGAGGAGGCATATTCTACGAACTCTACTTCGTTAGAGTTGATCTTAGTATCGGTGTCGGTATCAGTTGGGGAAGCTCCAATGGGTGCCATAGCTCATATGATGCAATTTTTGTGGTATTCGCGATTGATAGGAAATGATATTGTTGATTTAGAATTGGCACAAGCTTCTAAAATTATATTGGGGATGGAAAGTAACTCTTACTGGATATACCAAGGTAAGATCTAAATAAAAGATAGCTTGAGAACTCATAATTTTGATGAAAGCTGTCACAGCTATAAAGCAATGATACATGGGGACATACAGCTCAATATGCGGTATGCGGGGCCCCTCACTTCCCCCGCGTTACCCCACGGCTTACGGAAAAGGACATTGCAACCTTGCCATCACTTATGCTCTTAAACCTGCGATAGCAAAAACGCCCGAAAGGCACGTGGTATTGCTAAAGATTTGCATACGGGTATGCAGCCGTTCAAACATGAATCACATTATACATATCCGGTCGGCTGCTGCAGAGTGTCCAATAGTCCGGACTGCAGTCCAACAATAAAGATTGTTGAATCCGTAAACCAATGAGAACATTTCAAGTCATCTAAGATATTGAATTTGATTAAGACACTAAACTCTTTTCGAACTTCTAACTGCTTTTAGATATTAGAACCCTTATATTATTGGACTGTAGTCCGGAATAGTGGATACCCTGAGCTGGTATCTTGGTTCCGTATAAACGGATGAAGCTGAGGATGAGAAAAGTGTGTGGCGAGTGCACAGCCGGAAATGTCAAGGGCATAATGCGGAGATGTGAAACAACTACTGTTGGTGATATTTCCGGATATCAGATGAGGCTTTAGAATGGCTGGCACTGTGACGTGAACAACGCAATCCTACTCTGACACTTACCAGATTGCGTTTGGCCCTTTGATGCTATCTGACTTGATAAGCTCCTCTCATTTCAATGGCAGGGTCACAGCACAAGAATAGTAAAAAGGGTGCGTTGAGAGATAACAGCGTTACATAAAGCACGAATAAGAACGACTGATACGAGTGGCTTATAATCAAAGATATTGAGAATATTGTACTAAATAGAATAAACTTAAAAATGATGAATACAACAAGCGTACATCGAAGTGATCACCACTCCTTTCTCCAACTATCGATAAATTTCTTGACCAGCCCACTCCCCACAATGTCGCAACCATTCTTAATAGCCACGGACTTTGAACCCGTCTTCTCCGTTTTGAAGACAAGTCCCTGTCGACCAGGTTTGTCATTATCATATTTTTCAGTGAAGAAATCCAAAAGTTTTATCGTTGGGTTCTTATCTGGATCCTGTTCGCTCTCCCTGAGTAGCTTAATCCATTCTCTTTGATTGACAATATCAAACTCTAATCCCGCTGCATGTAAAGCAGGAAGAAGGTCATTGGTCCAGGAGAAAGTGTGTGAGTTTTGTACATGGTAGACAATGTCTTTTGAGTCCGGTTCATGCATAGATACATCTGGTGAATAGTTCTCGAGGCCAGCGATCTCCAGAACAGCTTTTGCAACAATATCAACAGGTAACCAGGAAGGTGTCTATATATCGTTAGTACTGGCATCAAGAGTGTACACTATGGTGATTCTCACCTCATCTAGGGCCGGTAGAGCATGAAGTGTTGTAGCACTTCTTATCATCAGTGAGATGGCCTCTGTACTATTCCACAGCCCTTCCATTGTATCTCCAACAATCTGACCAACTCTCAAAACCTTTGCCAGCATTCCAGTCTGTCTCGCAGCTTCTCCGATCACAGTTTCAGTGACTAACTTTGACCGAGCGTATCCCATATTTTGAGCATAATTCAGATTTGTAATGTACGTTTCCTCAATCGTCGCAGGCAAAGGAGTACCTGCTGCCGCTGATATGGAAGAACAGAAGAATAACTTTGCGGGAAAGGGCATGCGGACAGTGAGGCACAAATTCAAGAGGTTCACAGTTCCTTTGATGTGATGCGACTCGAAGCTTTGGACGCCCAGATTGAAGTTTACAGCCCAGGCACAATGAATCACTGTTGTAAGATTATCTCGCAAGGTTTGAATTAAGGTGGTGTCGAGGCCAAGATTTGTGTTGCTGAGATCTGATGAAAGACAATGAATCTTTGAGAATGATTTTGGCGATAATTTCTTGGCGGAAAGAGTATTTCTGACTCTTTCCTCTGCTTGTCTTCGATCCCTAGCTCGGACAAGACAATATACTGCTTTGACGAAGTTTTTTTCTACGAGCTGAGAGAGAACATGTGCCCCAAGTGAGCCGGTAGCACCAGTCAAGATCTTCGGCAAAAGGTTAGTAGGCAACAATAAACCCTTGAACTCATTACTTACAATGGTTTCCCCGTCCACGATCCTGGAACCTGGGACATGTTTTTCAAAATGAGAGTATTTTTGAATCAATTCCTCCATTATTTTGATCTCATCCTTCTGCTCTAATACCTCGCCTTTTCGAAGAGAATCTAAGTGTTCAGCTAAGTCTTGCACACTCGGAAACTCAAAAACCACATTCTGACTCGGTACTGCAGAGGCCAGATCCAACTCGCGCAAAATAATACCTCGAACTGCAATCGCTTGCAAACTATCAACGCCTGCCTCGAAGAAATCAGTATCTCTTTTGAGATGCTGGATCCCAACTCGTTCTGCGAAGACACCAAGTAGGAAGTCTTCTAACTGTTCTCTACCCAATTGGAGAGTACCTTTCAAACAATCTAGTGGTGTCTCAAAGCTCTGGTACATAGAATCTATGAGATCTTCGAACTTTTTGTAGAAAGCAGGTCGAATCATGGTTCCTTTATCTGTGCAGGGATAATCAACACCAGCGTTTAGAATATGAACCATTTCCTTCGAAATCTGACTGAATTTCTCCACTCTTGAGTTTGCGGCAACTACCACTGGCCAGAGCCTTTCTAGCAATGCTTTTTTACCTATGCTGGTTGCTTTCTCGCTTGGAACGACGATCAACCCAGGAAATGCTCGGCCAACGCCAAACACGCACGCTTCTCTTACTAATTCATGCTCTCTAATCTGATGCTCGTATGTGATCGGGAGGACTTTTTCGCCATTGACAAGCGTAACACGATCATCTAACCGTCCAAGATATTTCCATGCATTTGGTATTGAAGGATGAGGGGTAAACAAATCACTCGTTTTGAACGAATTTGGAGGACTTTGAGAATTTGAGGTGACTTTTGACGGTAAACCATCTAATACCACACATTCGAATGTGTTCTCTGATTGTTGCACCATTTGAATGTATGGTACACATGATGGTAAAGGTCTGACATAGTTCCATGCTGTATCTTCTCGTGGACGAAAAGAAGTCATGAGCTGCCCTATCTCGGTACTGTATGCTTGGTTAGAATTTATCGTTCCAGATGAAGCTGCTAAAACTTACGCGCCGTAATGACCAACTAAGTAAACTCCAGCTTGTGTCAAGCGGTCTCCAAGATCATCCGGGCAGCTACTTCCCCCAAACAAGACTAATTTGCATCTTCTCAGAGCCTCGATTCCACTTTCGGACTCCGCGAGTAGCTTCAAAGCGTAAGGTACACCATGAAAACTTTCAGGTTTTACTGCAGCCATTCCTTCGATCAAATTCTTTCCCGTCAATGGCAGGTTGGCATTGAACATAGAAATCTCCTTTGCTGAGTGGATCGCTCTAAAGAATGATGATAATCCGTGGTTATGATACAGAGGCAATGTCAAAAATGCCCGGTAACCGAAACTGTTGGAGTAGTTGGATAGACAAGCCGCATGTGTTTGAAAGATTGGTTTTGGAAGCCCTGTTGAACCCGATGAATGGATTATGAATGAATTACGCGTTGAATCCAAGGCAGTTCCCACAGATCGAGGAAATCGTGGGGTCAACGGAGCTTTGATATCATATTGGGACTGTCTCAGCAAGGGATACTGAGATACTTCCAGCTCAACTTGAATCAATTTGATAACGTCTTGGTGATTATCTGAACTGACAACTCGCTTACATTTTGTCTTTTCCAGAAGAGAGATGTATGCTTCTGGTGCTAATCGATTAGAAAGCAACAGAACTGCGAAACCCAGGCGTGATAAGGCAAAGATGGTAGCGACGTAATCAAGATTTGACGGTGCTAAAAGCGCAACGACTTCTGCAACAGGACTTTTTGACAACTGCGTTTCTATTAGAATGAATCCCTAACAATTGATTTGCATACTAACACTGGGAATGAGACCAAGTGATGAGTACGCATTTGCACCATGGTCAGCGAATCGATCAAGATCCCTCGCCGTGTAATGAACATAGTCCGATCGACCCTTCAGGCTACCGGGATATGCTAATAGAGGGACATCTGGAATAGTCTGACTTCGGTTGTAAATCAAGTCGTCGACAGTGTATAGAAGCCGACTAGGTATAGTCTTCGCGGGTTGAGACGAATTTTCTAACCTCTCATGTGGTGCTGTAAATGCTCTAGTCTCGACTATGGCCGACATGGTTCTGAATTGTCTGAATTGTAAAGAGATAAGAAGAATGGCATGCAGCCGTGTGTGTTCTCTGTTTGATGAGGCTTCCTGCCCGGATGTATCATAGCGCTATATATGACTGGAGGAATATTTTTCCTTGGAGGGTTATTGAGCTGCACTGCATAGCCTACACAAGTATCCGTGCCCCAGGTGCATATCCGAGATCCGGAACTAGGAAAATAACGAATCACGGATTATTCTTGGAGTGGGGACGCGTATGAGAAGCGTGATGATAAACTAATATCCGGAATTATTGCCCATTCCCGTGTCCCATTGATCATTTTGATCTCCTGGAAATATGAAGTCGAAGCCACCCACGCCGCCAGTAACCTATGAAGTAAGCATAGTTTCCATTGAGATTCTATATAAGAACGAACCAAAGAATCAAATTGGCCCCAGCCAGTGAGAGAATCCATAGTCACAGAAGGACTTGACTCGATATAATCGCCATCAGCTCCGTCAATTGAACGTGCTACTGCAATTCCGCCATTCCCATATTCGTGGACCGCATTCGGTACAGTGACAAGACTTTCACGGTTTGGATGGGAACCGCGCTCAGTCTGGGTAGCATGAGATCCGTGGTTTACACCTTGTCCTTGGGGGTTTGTGATAGCCTCTAGTCTAAGTTCTTCCAGCACTACACTATATCTCTGTGCCAACGATTCATTTTTGGCTTTAGAGGAAATCTGGGAATGACAGCGAACAGCAGCCTCAAAGTATTTGATATATTGCTCTCGAGGATGATAGCGGTGTTGTATCGTGTATACGTATAACACAACCACCGCACAGAATGCGAAATAATGAGTGAACTATTCGAGTCAGGATATTGCTATAGAGTTGTTAGGAATGGCACTTACCCAAAATGCTTGGTACAGTTGCCCGGCCTCCGTCAAATGATTAACGATGTTAGTGATTTCCATTGCTGCCTGTAAACAATTGAGGACATTTTTGTCCACGGAGTTGCCAGTTGAAGTTTCTCTAGAATGGCACGAGTTTCTTTTATGAAGACTGGCAAAATCTCGCAATAAGAAGGGTCGATGAACTAAGATTAGTGCATGCCAATATGAGAGATTCAGGACATTTCTTTGACGTTGGAATAGAGGTATCAATAAAGACGTATCTACACCCTTAGCATCTAGAAACCCAGTGAAGTTCGTGCGCCACTCTTGAAGACTTTTGCAATACTGGTCTGCTAAAGAAAGACGGATAGTGGAAGATGGTGGACGAATGGAATACAGATCGCGAAGAATATGACTGATTATCTGGGACAGCCTGTAGAGAAGTGAGCTTGCAAATACAAAATTGAGATTCTTACGCTTACATTCCATGAGCAATAGGTGCCATCATGATAGATTGGGCTCTAGACTTATTGACGTGAACGTGTCTTGAAGTAAGATCAGAGTCATTTACACAACTCGGGAGTTCCTAAATTGAAGTCTTAGAATCTTATGGGGTAATCGCGATTGTCAGCCTGATATAGGGATAGCTCACTTGATCTATATCATCATCGTGAAAAGTTCGAGGTCTTCCGAGAGCTGCGCTTAGATAATTATCCAGTGTGTATGCACACCAAAAAACTCGCTTTCTGCATTCTAGTTCAATCATATCCACATTATTGTGAGACTCTAAACGTCTCTTGCGATGGATACCGAGAGCGAGGATCAGATGAGCCGTTGTTCCGAATAAGCTCCAACAATGGTTGACCCTTGATTGTGATAAGAGATAGAAGCATTGACACAGACGAGCTTGAACACTAGTTAAAAGCACTCCTCCAGTTTCAGATGTCAGTTGACGATCAGCGGCGTGGAAGTATCGGGAACTAAAGTATTGTTAGCTTGAGCAAAATAACATAATGATGATTGATTCGTTTTCAAAGTATACAAGTCCTCGGAGTTCCAGGCTGGATATGAAAGCTGTCTATGCTCCACCATAATTCAATGACCAAAAAAATCCAATATTTGAGCGGGATCGAGAGTGATTTGGCCAATTAAAGAGCCGAAAGCCTCTCATGAATAAATTTAACTCTTAATCATTAAGCATCTCGCAGTATTTACCTCGTATCAACATCATTCTGTTTGCCAACGCCAGGCATGTAATCTCTTGCTTGAGCAAAAACCATAAATAAAAGAGCCGTTCGTCCTTTGGCACCGCTTTTCCGTTGAAAAGTTCCCAGATTATCGTAAAATTCATGTACCCAGAGTTCAATAGTTGGGCGATGTAGAAAGCGATGGGTCGGAACTGCAAAATCAAAGTATCTTGCAACAAGATTCTCGGCGTCGGATTTTGGGGGAAGTACGAAAAAGGAAGGGTCAAATTCTGGTAGGGGAGCATCCCCAAATGTGAATATTGATGAATCCTGGGAGAGTGTGATCTCTCGGTGTAACTTCTTCTGCACTCTCAATAGAAAAGAGGCCCCAGAGGAAGGACCCACGTAGTGTCCCTGGAGGTCAGTTTGCGGAGGCTCTGGTGAGTTCCGAGATGATTGCATTCTCGAGATTGGGTTCGAGTTCTCAGCGATAGTAGGCTGGAGCCGGGCCAATGTTGATGCAGCTATCGCTACATCATGTGGGATACTGGCAAAATCTCCGCTCAATTGGCTATGGAACGCATTGTGATGATTTGGGAAAGGTTTGGCAGCTTCAATCACGTGTTCATGTTCAACACTGGTAGAACTTTCGGCATTTTCAGAAATACCTGCGAGATGTTCAAGGTGTTCTTTCTCTGTCGTTATTGGAGGTATTCTCCCACGCCTATAGGCTGCTGTGAACTCACAGATCAAGCCAGCAGTTGTACAGAGATTGCAAGGTTGATTTCCGCTGCATCTTGTCTTTTTCTTTGAAATGCATTTGTGAGATGTCTTTTCCGCAAAATGTGGGGTTAAAGCATCTTACCTTTTACAACGATCGCAAGCTCGACTTACACGTATTCTCTCAGTCTCATCCCTTTTCCGTCTTTTTGCTGCGGGCGCCGGTTGAGTCTCTGTGCTCTCATCCCTTGGATGAGCTACCTCAGCTGTTGGCGGAGAATTCAACGAAGTGTGTGATTGTCGAGCTTCCGTCATTATGATTTGCGTAGTGCAAACTTTCTCAGATCCGAAACATAGAAGAATACTTCCGAAGGGGGGTCTGCAGGATAATGGTTCATAGAATTGTCTTTGGTCCGGATATTTGAAAGCTGGTGGTGCGGGGAAGTTGAGCTTTCCGGCCAAAGCAAATGACAGGGGGTGTCGGGCCCCCACTTTCGGGCCCAAGCGGCAATTTCGAAATTATTACTTGCTAGCAGATCCATACCTACCTCCTATCCAGAACAATCCTGGCTCGGATGGCTATTCTGCTCTTACCTTTCCCGAGCTTACATACGGATATGCCCATTTTGTCGATATTTGCAGAACAATGAAAAATTCTTGGTTGGAGGAATTGAAATATCATATTGCGAGCTAGGTATTTTACCATTCTCTAATCTCACCGCCTGGGCCAATGAACCCCGGGCTCACCCAAGGCTCCGCTCCTTGAGAAAGTCTACGTATTTGCTCCTCGTCAATATCTATGCCAAGTCCTGGACCCTTCATCAAATCAATATAGCCGCCGGTTATCTTCCAGACCTCTGGATTGGTTGTGTAACTCGTAAGGTCTTGCCCGCCAACATTGTAATGGATACCCAAGCTCATTTCTTGAATAACATGATTTGAGCAAGCCGCCGCGATCTGAATATTGGCTGCGAGAGCAATGGGTCCTAAAGGGCAGTGCGGCGCGAGAGCGACGTCATAAGTCTCGGCCATAGAGGCGATGCGTTTCATCTCACTGATCCCACCACAATGACTAATGTCTGGCTGTAAAATATCTATAGCACCAGCTTCAAGGAATGGTCGAATATCCCATCGACTATGGAGACGTTCACCCAGGGCAATTGGGGTGCTTGTTAGTTGCGAAAGATCTTTGATGCCCCCAATGTGTTCTGAAAGCAGTGGCTCTTCCAGGAACATTGGTCGATGTGGTTCCAGAGCCTTTGCTAGCTGCTTGGCCATTGGCTTGTGAACTCTACCATGAAAGTCAACTCCAACATCCATTCCAAGCTCTTTGACAGCTTTCACTCGTTCTATACAGCCATCCAGGGCAGATGGCGAATCAAACCATCCGAGATCCTCTGTACCATTCATTTTGACTGCTGTAAATCCTTGGTCTTTTCTAGCCTGACTACTCTTGTTAATTTTTGTCCGTAGAGGCTTGGGATAACATACGCTTGGCTGGCAATATCAGAAGGTCTATCTCCACCAATCCATGCGTATACCTTTATCTTGTCCCTGACTTTTCCACCCAGTAACTGATATATGGGTACATTTAACCTTCTAGCTGGAGAAACAATCAGTTAGAGTACCTGGATGGATTGATGAAGCATACCTTTCAAATCCCACAAAGCAATATCGATTCCGGATAATGCGCTCATGAGAACCGGGCCTCCACGATAGAATCCACTTCTCCAAGACATTTGCCATATATGTTCGATATCACTACATCTAGTTATTAGATGTACTAATACGACATCTTAAGTCCACATACTCAGCTTCCATTCCCGTGTATCTTGCGATATAAGCGTCTAAACAACCTTCAACGGCTTGGGTATGACCCTCAAGAGAGGCTTCGCCCCAACCTACATTGCCACCTTTGTCTGTGATTTTTACAAAGAGCCATCGAGGTGGTACACGAAAGTATTCGATAGATGCTATTTCCGGCATTATGAAATCTGTGATCAATGTGTAACTTTGGGCGTGCAATTCAGAACTATATGTGGTCTCAGATGAATAGCTGTCTGATTCCGAAGACCCGAAGGCCGGAAATAGGGTGGGGTAAAGATGCAGTAGATCTGATGATCCCGGGTAAGTATTGCATCCACAAATTTGACATCCGGTCATCAGCGGGTAGTTTTATTGCAAGATATGGCAAATTAAGATGTCTTATTTTACTATTTAACGATAACTAGCATAGTGTTCATGCGGCGCGCAACTTCCTTTGAGATTCTTTCCAATCTTCGACACTCTTTCTCAAACTTTCTGGGCTGACCTCGCCAAAGATATCCACTCCGAGCCGTGCTGGGAAATTATATCGATGGTTTCGGTCCAAAGAACATATCTTCCGGAACGCATCACCTGGCAATTCAAAGTCTATCAGTGGAATTAGCTTAGCAAACTTGTAGATACTGAGCATGGAGGTGTCACTAACCTTGGAAATTATCGTTTATACGCTCTGGTGTAACGGATTTTGGAAGAACAATAGTGCCTCTCTGAACAGCCCAGCTGATAAGTAGTTGCGCTGGCTGCTTTCCCAAACTTTTCGCGAGGGAGATCACCGTGGGGTCATCTACGCCTCTTGGCAAGTTGTAAATATTGTTTCCAAGAGGACTGTAGGCGGCCACTGCGATATTCTGGGACTTGTGCCAATTCAACAAGTCCGGTTGTTGCAAATAAGGGTGTGCCTCAATCTGATTGACTGCCGGCGGAATTTTTGCAGTTTCTAACAGAGCTTCGACCTTCTCTCTGGTGAAGTTGCTAACTCCGATACTTCTAATCTTTCCTTTTTCGACAAGGTCTTCCAAGGCTGCCCACGTATCTTTAATTGGAACATCGATTACGATGATCTCCTCTGTTTTGGGGTCAACCGGAAATCGTTCCTTGGACTGCGGAAAAGCAACTGGCCAGTGGATCAGATAAAGGTCAAGATAATCAGTCTGAAGGTCTCGTAAAGATGAATCGAGCGCGGCTTCAACATCTTCAGGCTTGTGATCTGTATTCCACAATTTGCCCGTAACCTAAATATTTTTCAATGAGCACACAATCAGTAAAGAAGTAAGGTGTCAGTACTCACAAATATGTCTTTCCTGTCTACCCCTGATGCTTTGATTCCTTCTCCCACTTCCGTTTCGTTCCCGTATACAGCTGCTGCATCGATATGGCGGTATCCTGTTTTCAGTGCATGTGCAACAGCCTCCTTGACTTCATTTGGTTTTGATTGCCACGTCCCTAAACCAACCACTGGAATGCTGTATCCTGAGTTCAACTTGACGGAGCGATTGAGGGCCATGGTGAAATTAAACCGCGAGAATATCTGCTGGTACTGTTTATTAAAACATTGACAGATATTCGAGGTTTTAAAGGCAAATCAGAGCCACTGTGGATACATCAATAATGCATCAATGATGTCTTTTCGACTTATCCGTAGCCAGGTAGCCCGGGTATACTTTTCCGTGGGCATTGGTGGATAAAGAACATCTGCAGTTCCGCACCTGATCATAATCGAATGATACGATTAATAAGATAAATCAGGATGATATTGAACCTCTGATAAAAGGGAGGCGCAAATCCTCATACATCCAAGTCGAGTTTGTTGAGGAATTTCTTGAAGTGAAGCTCTGAGTCCTAAGACGTGCAATCAAGTAGTGATGACTAATCACCGTGAAGTACCTCCCGAGGGAGTTTTTGTTCCCGTCCCGACCTTTTTTAAGCCATCAACAACACCTCTCTCTACAAATCAAGCAGCAGTAGATGTTTCAACTCAGGTTCAACATAGTGTTCACCTTGCGAAGAATGGAATACGTGGACTGGTGCTTCTTGGGAGCACAGGAGAAGCCATTCATCTTTCACGCGCCGAACGATCCGAATTGATAGCTGGTGTTCGAAATGGACTTACCTCCGCAGGCTTCTCAGAATATCCAATTATGGCAGGCGTGCTAACTAATTCTTTAAATGAAGCATTAGAATGGTTGGCCGATGCAAAGGAAGCTGGAGCACAATGGGGTCTTGTGCTTGCACCTGGATATTTCGGTCCTGCTGCGAACCAAGAGAACATTAAAGAATGGTACAAAATCGTGGCAGATGCTAGTCCTATTCCAATATTAATGTAATGTCCATGTCTCTCTCGTGTCGTCATACAAATCTAATTCGCTACCTCTGCAGCTATCATTATCCTGGAGTCACAAACAACGTCACAATAAGTCTCGAGACTTATACGGAGCTCGCTGCTCATCCCAATATCGTGGGGTGCAAAATGTCCCATGGAAATGTTTCACATCATCTGCAAGTCTCCTTGACGCCAGATATCAATCACGAAAACTTCCGCGTATTCAGCGGGTTCGGCCAACAGCTTGGCCCTATTGTGCAATTCGGCGCGGCCGGTGTGATTGATGGGCTTGCCGCAATTTATCCTCGAACAGTTGCACGTCTTTTTGAACTTGCGAAAAGGCGTCCTGTTGAATCTGCAGAATTGCAAGAGTTGCTGTCGCTTCAGTTCTCAGTGAGCCGCGCAGAGGAATTTGTTGTGAGATGGGGAATAATCGGGATCAAGGAAGGGGTTTATCGAACTTTAGGTATAGGAAATTTGGAAGGTGGAAGATTGCCCTTGAGGGGCAAATTACCCGAAGGGGAATGGCAGTCCTGGAATTTTGCCACTAGTGCCATGGAAAAACTTGAAAGTTCATAAGTTTTCGCGGCTTATGATGTTTTCAACAATTGTCAATCTCTCACATTAGCTAAATTGCATGTTGTAAGTAGAGCAAGGTTCAAATTAAACAAATTTTTGAAGTAATTGGCATCCCTGGGGAATACTTTCGTCCAACTCTGGGCTAAACATCCTGCCTTATGATGTTCTCCTCCATTTCCACTCCATCCCGATATTATTTTTGAGAGGACTATGCGGAAGTCATATATTTCGTGTGTATTTCAAGATGGTCACTTACCTTCTGAAATTCACCAAACTCTCAAAATCAAAATATCATGAAAGACCGGGGACTGGTTGGAATACAATATCTCCTTTCTTGACAGCATCTTCACCAAGAAGCCCCCTCCTTTCTGGGGACAAACATTTCATGCATCAATGCGTCTCGTGCTCATTAACTTCTACTTATAACTTCTATTTCAATTCTGCAATGCTGCCACTCATTCACTTCTTATCGTCACTAAAATCCTTACTTCGAGGGATGCCGCGGCGCAATGTAATTGTTCTCGTATCATGCATATTTTACCTTCATCGCCACGTAATAATCAAAATTATACTTCCAAGTCAGGAACCAGCTGTTTTATTGAATACCAAATCTTCCAATGGGAACACGTCCACGCAAAATTTCCCAAAAACCACCGGGATTTTCACGTCCAGAACAAGTCGTTGGCCTACCGAAAATTCGAACAACCTGCGCTTTAGTCTCCCGTTTCTTTTGCGGAAGATGCTCCGTTTATCAAGGACTTTGAGTCTCTTTATCAAGAGGCTATGGATGAGCTTGTGCGAACAAGGAATCGTGGTAGAATTTAGAACAAGTGCTTAGGAAGTTCTACAATTGGCCATCCATCTAGGAACTATGCTCAGACATTTCCAAGAGATGTATATTGTTCTTCCCAGATTCACACAGAAGCATCGGGGCATTTGTAATTTATGATGCGTAAATAGCAAAGCAATTGGTCGGGAAATTCGCGAGATCCACCGCGACAATCAACGACGTCGAACTACTTGGATAAGAGAACACGGAGTTGAAAGAAAGGAAACAGAGGGAGGGTACATGGAGATTGAGACTAGATAAGTATAAGTTTATTCATATAGTAAAAGGGCCCATTCGAGACTGGTTGCAAAATGATGTCTTTTCAGTAAGACGGATAGTTATGCCATCTTGTCGAATTCGAACACTCTCGATTCCTCAACAGCCTTCCCTTCACTTATCATTGAATCAATGGCCCGGAAACTTTCTAACACAGTGACTTAAGAAACTCGACTCTTCCAGAGTTCTCTATCTTGGTGTCAGGTTTATGCATGAAAAAACATTTCGCTCATGGCGAAAATGGGTACGTTAATTCAAACGCTGCCGTGAACATGTTGCTGAGGCCAGGACAACAAAAGGGTCTGGCTGCAAACCGGAACAATAATATTGATAGTGAATGTGGGAGTCTTCCGATTTCTATGTGCATGCGCATTCCTCTTGTAGTATTTCATGAATTTAAGATTAAACCAGCATATCTTCAAATTTACCAACGATACTAACAAATTCAGGCTGTAGAGATGTTGCCTTGGCAAAGGCACTTTGTGAGTACTGTGTTAATCTTACCGGGTCTGTTCCTTTACCAACGATTACCAACCTCCTACACTTCCTAATGGCTCAAAAAAGCACTGGTGTCAGCCAGCTATCACCATGCATCATGTCATGCCACGCGAGATTAGTAGTGTTTGTAAATTTGAGCTATCGCGAGAAATATTGCAGATTGCCAACGCAACAAAATTCTCCGGACTCTATTACCACCTCGTAGATCCGCATGTTACGCGGTCAAGTGATAATTTGGATTATTTGAGTGATGGCCTAACGTACACTGAGACAGAAAGTACTGAAGGGGCAAGGAGAGAAGAGCGGGAGAACGTAAATGCTACAATTAATCAGGAGAGGTACCCGAATAATCGAAAATCACAAGGAAAGAGTGAACGATATTGAAATTGCACTTAATGAAACGCAAGAGATGAGCACGAAGAGGGGTAAGGAGAACGGAGAAAAGCCTGGAGGAAATCTTCTCTCGGCATCAACCAACGATGAAGAGGTAATGACACGGTGCAACTTTGACCAAGATCAGGTACTTAATTTGAACAAAAACAACCTGCGAAAAGTTGGCGATGACGATTTCGGGGTAATGGAAAGGAGGGGGATTCCTGTAGATCTGTCCCATCAGCACAATGTTCTTCATCGAAAGAGGAAGGGTAGAGAGACGAACATAAATGTGATCAGTCATCTAGGGTTGATTTCGAGCCCTACAAATTGTTTGAGAGCTAGGTCTACTGCGACAGGGCATGTAAGCTAGCTATTTCTATTCCACTTTGCTATGATTAAGCTTGAAGCTTCTACTGACAGAAAGGAATCATGAGGGGGGGGACAACTTGGTTGAAATGGCTTGTGGACGATGATGTTAAGGGATAAATAGAGAACAGGTGCTAAAAGGCGGACTGGAATACTTGAGAGGAGCTGGAGTCAGGAACAGACCAGAATATGCAGCTTATATATAGGATATGAACACATGTATTAAAGCTAAGGGTTGGGTTGGGTTGGATCAATGGTTTACTGACAACATATGAAGTGGTGTTTGCAGTTGATTGGCGTTTCTCTTTCAAGAATGTGTTGAGAGTATCAGCCATGCGTTATGGATGAAATCAATAAATTCTCATACTTCGCTCATGATATCTTCTTCATCTCACACTCTCTCCGATTTTGAAATGCTCTTCCATTCATTTCAATTGTGATGATCGAGTTCCCCGATTTCATGCCGTAGATTCGGCAGCGATCCGACAACCCCTCCCGCTAGGCCTGTGGCATGCTGACATTGTAAGATACATGAGACAGAAAATTTAAGCATAGATTCCTGGGACCCAGAATATTTGCGACACAAAATCCGTCTCCATAATCCGCTAGCTATCACGATGATATTTACCGACGCCTTGTTAGTTCAAATCGACTCTCAATTATGTTGCAGCTTACAACTGTATTATCGGAGGCTGATAATGAAGGGGCTAGGGAGAAATGTAAAGTCCGTGCATAGTAACCTATAGATTGTTGTTTGTGAATGGATTGCAACTGGAATAGTCACTTATTTTCTATCACTAGCAGAAATTTAGATGGAATTCAATTTCGATAATGTTTTTATCAGTATGCGGGTCATATTAGTATGCGGGTCACTTATTTTATATACAAAATTTGTCCTGTGCGTAACCGTGCACTTTCTTTATTTAAGAATATAATTTTTTGAAAATTTTATATAAAATATTTAAATATAAATAAATTATAAAAATCTAATTATATTTAAAAAAAATATTGAATTAGTAAGTAGTTATTATAGAAATAGTCTTTTTGTAATGAAAATCGTGACAATTTATATTTTTTTCTAGAAAATAATAGAAATTCTGATTTGACATAAGATTTTAAAAAGATTGGATTTTTAATTTTTATTTAAAACTTTTTTTATATCAAAAAATAATAATTGATTATTAAAAAATAACTCTTTTCACCTGCTTGATTTAGGTGATTTCGAAATGACCTGCATACTGATATGACCCGCACACTGATAAAACACGTTATACTTTATTTGTTTATTGGGATTGTCAGTGTGCAACAAGAGTAATCTGGATATCTGTCGTGTCTCACTCAGAAGCCATCTCCAATTGAGATCATCACTGACATGTCGCTCCTTCCTACCCAATTGTCAGTTTCGAGCTTACGAATTGGACGATAGTGCGTGCTATCTTCGTTTGTAGTACAATTTGAAAATCGAAAGACGGCGACTTTACTTCATCTGATTCCGGTGCATGATGTGTGTGAAACATTCCTCTGTGTGGGAAGTTCCTGGCCGACAGCTACTAGTTAGTTGATAGCTAAAAAAAAACGCACAGAGCTCCGATCAACCATATTTTGGAGATTCATAATAACGAAGGTAGCTGTTGAGATTTTCAGATTATTCTTCCCTCAGTCTGTCCTTGTGCTTCTGATATCGGAATCCACGAGAAAACAGAAACTTCCCATTTTTGTACGGGGTTCCCTTGTAACCTCTAAGTCTAAACGTCATCGAAGCCGAGTTCTGCGAACAAAATATCAGAAGCTTACGACCTCGAAGTTGCTTCAACGACAAACTCCCTCGAAATCTTGGACATTGTGGTCAGTAGGGAGGGGATTCTTTGAGAATTTTCCAGGGAAAGCACGAGTTAGCTCAGCAACGTAACAATCTACCAACCATGACATCAACAATAGTCGGAATAGACCATCTGCTTCTTGGTATGTTTTTTCCGTCATTTAATTCCAATATGATCCCTTACTTAATAAAGCTCCAGGTACGCAAGAGCTCCTCCTCGCGATTCCACACCTCATACGTCCAATTCTTCTTACATTTGCTCTGTTCTTTGCTGTGTGTGTATTTATGTGCGCAGTTGCATATGCTTTTATCGCCGTGAAATCAAGTCTATATACGATTGTCAAGGATTCGGATGATATCTGCTCGAAATGGATGAAGAAGATTGTCGCTAGTGATGGATTTATTGAGATAGGGGTACTGGGATATGTGTTTGTGGTTGCATTTGGGGTAGGGAGGGGATTGGATCTGGTGCTTGGAGTTTGTTGGTGAGGGAGCCGGGGGGGGGGGGGGTAAAGGATGGACGGACAGGTTGCTATGAAATGAAAAGCATGGTCTTTGATTGCAGAGAGTCAATATCCTGATGTGCAGTGTTTAAGAATTACAAGAAGCATTTGGACAGTCTGTTCAGTCCTCGGATATGAATATTGTCAACAAAAGAACGCGTGAAAGAATGGTTGATGGAATAGATGATTCGAGTCTTTTGGACCACAATCATGCTTTTGGTTACTAAACCATCATCACGAAGCAAGACTTGGCCAACAATATCGGTGGATGAATAGCATCCTCTCTGCTCTCATTTGGATTTCCAGTAGATAAGTACCAGAAATATCCATCGCCTTCATATTACCATTTACTCGGAACAGGGTATTCAATCGTCATAACGTAGCGCAGCAATTTAGAACTTTAAATGTCTGAATATGATTAAATCATTTAAACAGTCTCAGAGATTGAACATGCAATCCAACGCTTTGGAACTTTCGATATCTGAATGTAATCAAATCATTTGGATAGTCCCAAAGATTGAACATCCTGCGAAGATTGAGTGGTCTTGAGCTGTTAAATCCTCATAGTTGGCATACTACAGTCCAGACTATGAAAGCATAAATCTAACAAAAGCTTGCAAAGAGAAGTCTGGAATGTTTAACATGAAATGCGCGATTTTGGGTGTAGTCAAGCAGAAATTGGAAGCAACATGAAATTTTTCACACTAATCAAGTTTTATAGTCATAGGAGAGAAATTGTTGTGCGCAGCAATCTTGAATTGAATATTTACAAGTAATCAAAAGTATATACATCTCGAAGAACTCAACTCCAAGACATCACCCATCAAAAGTCGACGAATGAATCTCCCCCGAATTTAATTCCATTGCAACCTGGCAACCGATCTTCCACTACATAATTTAGTAGGTAACTTTTCCGAAACCAGCGTTGGCAGTGACACTGGCGACAACGGTGCTGTATGCGGAAGCGGAAGCGACGTTCTTTCCGGAGAAATCTGAGAAGAAGCTGGTGGTGGAGGAGCTGAAAGTGCCAGAAGAACCGAAACCGTTGAGTTGGCAAGTATGTCCAAGGTAGGCGGAACAGGCTGCGTTGGCGGTGGTAGATGGAGCAGTGAAGAGCTCACCAGCGATTGGAGCTTCAGCGACGACTGGAATGTTCTGGAAAACGTTGCCCTCAGCGACGACGTAGGCACCGGCACCGATCTCGAACGCGCGTCCGGAGTTGTCGTACCAGTAGTTGTTAACGGCGTGGAGGAGGGTGTTTCCTTGAACCTTGGGGGAACGTCCAGAGGTGTGGTAGATGTAGTTACCCTTCATGGTGACCATATCGTTGGAACCATCGAGGTAGATACCCCAGTAGTGGTATCCGTCACAAGTGGCAGAGTAATCAGAGACACCGTTGATGTAGTTGTTGGAGAGAGTAACACGGTTGGAAGCGAGCGTACCAAGAACGATGTGTTGACGGGCGATGTGGTAAGTGGTGACGTGATCAATCCAGATCATATCAGCATCGTTAATAGTAATAGCGTCACCTCCCCAGACGTACTTAGGGTTGATCTCTTCGATCTTGATGTTTCTGAATCCAGGGTTAGTGTGAATTTAGCTAGGTTGACCTCGTGCTTTACTTACTGGATGATGATGTTGCTAGCACCGGAAACCATACGGAGACCCTTTCCTTGGATGATACCACTGGAACCCTCACCGATCAAAGTCTTGTCGGAAGCAACCGAGATACCGAGAACACCAGCGTTGTCGTAGGTGACGCTGGCAGATGGAGCATCTGGCTCATAGTTCTGACACCATCCATTGGCGCCATTGATAGCAAGTTGGCAGTTGGACGCGGTACCCCATGGTGCACATCCAGTGGCAGTGGTGGTACCCTCGGTTCCTCTGAAATCGAAGGTCTTGGTGAGGACGATGACACGAGGGGAGGAGTCTCCCAAGTAGGAAACGAGTTCGGCGGTTGTGGTTGGGTAGACAGCAGCTGCGGAACCACCACCAGTAACGCCCTTGGCGAAACCTTCTGCGGCTCCGTTGACTGCGACAGCAGCAGAAACAGTTTGTGCGACTGCGGCAAGCGCGGCGCTGAAAAGAGTGAACGACTTCATAATGAAGTCAAAGAATGTGTAATATGTATTGAGAAGT